TGTGTCTGTCAGTTTCTCTTGGTGCACCACAGAGCTTTCTGTTTGGTAACTGCCAATAAATTTATGCACCAACACAAGCCTATCCAATGATCCCTTGATTTATGCAAGTCCTACCTATGTACTGTATCACAGGTACTTTTAGACCCAATACTTTATAAAAGGCACTCCATTATGTGTACTATAAGTTGTAAAACTGTACAGTACTACCAGTATAAATTAAAAAAAAACATGTCCTATACTGTAGCTGTATACATATTAGTACATTACGTGTAAGCAAAATTCATCCCCTCGGTACACCATCAACAACCAGCATCTTTATGGGATAAATACAAGCCACGTTACTCACAGGCAAGACGGACAACAAATTTGGGGCAAAACAGTCCACAAGTGTGTAAAGGTATACTGTAATGAACGTTTCCTTTTTAATTATTATACAGGAATGTTAAGTACAATACAGTAGGTACTGGAAAGTAATATTGTGAATGGAGTTGAATGACATTCATCTATTATTTTTTGTAAAACCTTTAATAATAGCTGTCTGTTTGTGAAAAGAGAGATCTTGGGCAGTAGAGCACAATAGTTATATTTTACCAAGTCCAGGAACACAACCTCCTTTTTTCTGGTCCAGTAAGTTTGATCTCCTAAAATTTCATACACATGAGGTTTTTAAAAAATGCAATCCTCATGTAAATCACAGGATAACTGTATAATGCAGCTACCACAATGAACGGCATACATTGTGTCTTTTGAATCCATTTAAAACTGCCCAGAACACCAATATAACCCCTGGATCATCTAAAGATAAAGAAACACTGTGCCATGGCATGACACATGTTCATATTTTAATGCGATGTAGCTAATTAAGGGATTTTATCTACAAGTAAGAAATAGGCAGCCTATGATCTTTAGTAGATGTCCATAACACATACAATACCTGTACAGATGCTGTATATAGAAACTACGTAGAATATTTAATATTAAATAACCATGACTGAGAACAGAGCAATACATACATTCTTCCACAAGGGACAGAGACTACTGTACTATTTTTCTCTATCTCAAAAATGAAAAAAAAAATCATCCACAACTCATATTTTAATACAATTGTTTGTACTGCATATGTTATAATGGAAATTACTGTACGGTACTTACTCTCGCTAGTGGTTAAACTAACTTTCAATATCATTAAACTAATTGTTAGGTACATTATGATATAGCACCATTTGTTCATTCAGTAATGTACAGTACAGTAGCTAATTATAAAAAAAACCAGTCTGATTGCTAGTACAGTACCAGTACATTGTATACAATTAATGTACCCAGCTCATTATACAGTACTGTATAGCCATTACATCAAAATTTAAGTGATAAAAATAGGGTATAGAATTATTGTATAATAATTTTAGTTTACTTGACTGACAATAGCCAAGGGTAGACCTTGCCAAGCGGAAGATACTTAGAATCTCATGAAGATTAGGAACCCTGCTCATTTCACCTGATGATTAAACACTAATGCTATATGAGGTGGGTTAGGTTAGCATTAGGCAAAATAAGCAAGGTTCCTAAACTTCATGATATCTGAGTGCACTTGTTTCAAATTAAATTCATGGGGAGTACAGTACAATAATACCATACATTATGTAAGAGTAGCAAGAAACCCTCCCACCACTCATTTGCTTCCCCTGAGAGAAGCTCTTCTTCAGCCACAAATAGCATAATAGTCATTTCCCAAGCTGTATAAGCAACCAACAGTGTGGTGGGGGAGTTAGAGCTTACTAAGGTTTCTCTAAGGCTTCTGGGTCTTCCCTATGGCTTGGTGACAGAAGTAGCCAAGATTACTCAGACTGATGATAAAAAAGTCAAAGTAAGATACAATGCAAATAAATCACTGTAGGTGCGTGCGTGATCCAAGTATATGCTGATAACCACATACAAAACAAGAAAACACTAAGTTTCCTTCGTGTTTTCTTATTTCCTAAGTGGTTATCAGCATATTCGTAAGATACAATGTGTAAGTAATTATCTACCATAAAGGATGCTTCTGTGTGACAGGATATGGTGAGAGTAAAGGTGGGGCATATTCATATACTGTAATGTACAGGTACAGTCGGCCTAAGATGCACCGACCCCACCCTGGGCCTCGTGCTCGCAATTTTACCTGGCAATACAATACTTGGTAAAGGAAGGCTGTATGTAAAGGTGATTGTGATTGGTGGATCTGTTTTTGGCTGTATCATTGTCAGGGTAATTATTAAACAAACCAAAGGTAAATTTTTTTACAATAATAAACTATTCATTGTTATTTAAGGTCATGAGAAGTTTCCAAATGTTTGTATATTTGTTAAATAATGAAGAAAATTTGATATGAGAATCTTGTGGCAGCTGTGGTTGTAGTTGAGTTGCCAAGTCATTAATATAATTTTCTTCATTATTTAAACAAATATATAAACATATGGAAACTTCTCATGGCCTTAAATAACAATGAATAGTTTATTATTATAAAAATTCTACCTTTGGTTTGTTTAATAATTACCCTGACAATGATACAGCCAAAAACAGATCCACCAATCACAATCACCTTTACATACAGCCTTCCTTTACCAAGTATTGTATTGCCAGGTAAAATTGCGAGCACGAGGCCCAGGGTGGGGTCGGTGCATCTTAGGCCGACTGTACCTGTAGGAATACTGTACATTTTTATTAAATCAGATTGTGCAAATTTGTGGAGAAAGTGTAAGTAACTTATTATTAATTATTCAACAGAAAGTGTAGTTATGAACTTAATTTTTCTTATTCAACAATGTTCTACAGTACGTTTAATCATGTATACGATTTGAGAATTAATTAATTTCTTTAATTCTTGCAATACCAATTTCACTACAGTAATATGGAGATCACCAAGGCATATAATTACAAGAAACAACAAACAAATGATCCCTCATCCAGGGTGAACACCTGGACAATACAACCCAACCAAACCTAAACTACAGTAACTAAAAATTAAGCTAAGGTTGTTTGATTAGGTTCATCCATGCTATCTAGCTACTCTAATGCTTGTGAAATATCTACAGCAGCATTTTGTTAACTGCCAACAAAATTTTAATATTTTCCTGTGTAAGCTATGTCTATTAGACTGCAATACACAGATTGAAATCTTTTCACTGAAATGAAACAATCACAATATGCAGTATGTACAGGACTGTATTTACTTCAGACTACTGTATTAACACACCACAATAAAATACTCAACTGTACCCTGACTTGTTTCATATAACCCAACAGTGTAGTACAGTACTGGCACCATACACGATGGCTTTCAGGCCAATTGAAAGTTTGGATACCTTTGATTATCTAGAATTCAAGCAGTTCTGACTAAATCAACAACCCAAATTTTGTAAGAAAATAATAAATTTTAATAATAGGTAGATCCTGATTCAAAAAGCTTCGGACTCTGAAAATTAAAAATTACAGTACTAAATTTTGTTTTCCCAAGCTTTGATTTACAAAAGAAATCCCTTAAGTTACAATATATTTTTTCATTAACTTTGTATTTTTCCCAAAGTAATAATGAAAATATGATAAAATGCAAGTTTTTACTACCACTTTCCTTACTTATTCAATGTTGGTTTTTCCATCATGAATCGGTGGAAAGAGTAAAATGTTAAATGAAGTACAAACATAATTATGAAGATGAACAACAGCAGTACCATGCAGGTAACAGCTTATATTACAATACTTACTGTTGACGTAAGCGCAGATATTTTCTTGGTGGGAAAAAAACACTTTAGGGAAAAAAATTATAGAAGAAAACTTTTCTTACCTCACTAACAGAAAGAAATGGGCGAAAGAATAGCAAAATTCCTACTTTTGGGTTTTCCGTGTTTTCTTATAAGAGTGAGTACAGTGTTTGCTGCTATCTCAGGTTTTTCGCCTTAAACGGAAGCAATAATGTCCATAAACCACCGCATGTCTTTTGGTACACGCGAACACAAGTACTGATGGCTCCCTATGTCACCGACAAGTGTTGGGGATGAAAACAATGGAAAATCACAAGTAGGTAATTTACAATTCTTCCACCCATTTCTTTTTCTTCATGAGGTAAAAAATGTTTTCTCCCATAAAAAATTTCCCTTGAGTGGCTTGTTCCCATGAGTCTGGCATCTAAAACATTACAATATAACATTGGCAAATTGTGACTAGGAAGATGGTATAAGGTGCTCCTCTACTTAAGAATGTTCAACTTACAAACTTTACTTTTACTTTTTTTACTTTTATCCTCTTCGCCACTGATCGGCTTGTTAGCCTGAGTGGGGTTACCTGCCAGAACAGGTGTTAAATGTGGATGAGACTGGATTATTTTGAAGAAAATTCCAGATAGAACAAACATTACCTAAGAGGATAAGAGTGAGCCAGGTTTTAAAGGGCATAGCTGTACTAAATATCCATAATCTTTTAATTTTTTACAATATGTTTGGTATCTACAAGAGTAAAGTTGGACTTACTAACAATTGGACTTACAAACAAGCCTCAGGAACGTAACCCATTGGTGAGTATTAACTGGCCCTCTACAACCTGTGCTACCATGTTCCCCTGTATCAACCATTAGCACATAGACAACTTTCACTTTCACCAAAATATTTGTTATAATACAAAATAAAAAGACACACCTAACCTAACCTAACCAGCAGCAACACGTACAAATTACAGAGATGAAATTGAGACATTATACATGACAGGACATGAACCACCTCAAACTCACCTAAGTTGGCTATCTTAGAATATTTCTTTAGCTAGCGTGGGTAAGGTTTACTAGGTAGGATTAGGTAATTTTGTCTGTTTTAAAGCAAATGACAAATTTTGAGGGAAAAAACGGTAAAAAAAACACTGTACTATCAAGAGCCAGGGTCACAACATATTGTTTCCCCTAAAGTCCATCATAATCCCTAAACTTCACTGTTTTTCTTCAAATATCAACGAGTAAATATATCACAAACGCTTACCTTCATTACCAAACAGGCTCCACAGTTTCGCTATCAAAATACCCATTATGAGAGGGAGAAAGGAGAGAACGTATGTCACAGAGAGGTAGAGCAGAGCACCCGTTAACACCCTCACGTCCACTGATGGTTACTGAGGACTGACCACTCATTGGCTGCCTACAGTTATGACGTCATTGTGACATCACACTAAAAACACCCGCAGCGTCCGCCAGCAAACTCTCCTTTGTCATATAAATTATAAGTAATGAAATATTAATGATTATTTAATGAGTTATAAAGTTTAATTTGGCGAAATTTATTATTATATTATAAATATATTATATAAACATATCGATAATATAGAGTAGATAGTTACAAGCCTAAACTATTTATCGTGATATAGTTATAAGTGAAAACTAACAAGTATAAGAGATAACATTTCAGATTATCATATAAATTCTTTTACAGGTGTTCTGTTTCAAGGACAGTATATAACCACTAATATCGCGGCCTAAACTTGCGTATTTTTCAAAATGTTTTGTGTATGTTATCTACGTAAACATTATGTTGCCACTTCGTGATTTTTGTATTATTAACCTCCAAGGTGAGATAAAGACCCACCACTGAAACACTCTTAACCACCTGTGACTGTAACTATATCATTACTTTTGAATATAGGGTTTTACAGTACGATCCATGGGTGATAATAGTGTTGATGGCGCTGGTAATATGGAGTCGGATGAAGAAATAAGTGAGACAGAGGAAACGTTATCGACCAGACAGCCTGCAGTAGCGTATCCTTTTAACTATTGTTTCTTGGTCAGTTTACTCACATTTGTTACTGATTTTACTACAAACTCTTCTTAATGTTATGCTGGTCACTGCTTTCCATCAGCTCTTATATTCTCGGTTTTTCAATATTGTTATTCAGTAACTGGAACAATTGTAGGAGGCAGCCCTTAAATATTACTGTACCAGAGCCAATATGATTGAGGTGTATAAATGTAAGATGGGGATAAATAAAACTTGTATGAATAAGGTAATTAATTTTGAAATAATGAGTGAACAAGTAGCAAGTTCAAAATTATAGAAATTTGGATTTAGGAAGGAAAAGGGTAAAATAAATGGTATGGAAACTAGTTGTGGATGATTGGAATGTTATCAAACACTATCAATAACTTTCTTTCATTATCACTTAGGAATATGTTTATAAATACCATTTTTTTATGGCTTCAAGGTTTTGTTCGTAAATAAAGTGTAACAATTGTTTGTTTTTTTGTAACTTCAAATTTTTGTAAACCGATGCCTTATAAATCAGAGTCTCACCTGAAATATCATCATCTCCTTTCTTCCATCAAGAGCTTATCAATACAATGTATACTGGTTTCCTTCATGTGATCCCTTTTGTGTAAAATATGTATACACTAGAAAATATGTACTGTATATATCCTTAAATTATTGATCAGTACATTAGAAGTGCCATTCAACACCAGTCGGGAAGCAGAGGTGGTGCGCAACAGCCTACAAGTGGACCCAGAGCCTAAGAGGAGCGGTTCATCTAAAACCTTCACCCTCAAGGAGAATGTTCTTTGTGTGTGAGTTCTATTCACTTTTACTCCTTTTTTCTTTATGTTGACTATGTCTTCCTTGAGCATATTTCTCTCAGAAATCGCTAATGTCTTTCATTTTATTTTCAGATTTCAGTTCCTGTTATTTTACAATACACATACTAAGTTCAGTAATGAACTTTATGGTGTGGGGATATCCAGCTGGTCAAATTTGTTTTATACTATTGTAAATACTGAACTTCTGTTTTTTAGAGAGAGTGAGTGAATGTGTTTGTTTGTTTCCCCATGCCACCATAACAAATATATAGAGGGAGAATTCCCATGACACCCTGACTGGAATATTTACATTTTTAAATTTAAAAAAATTGTCGCTTCTTTCAGAGAGATTCGCTCACCAGATGTTCGACAGTTGAGGACAGCAGTGTGTTCCTTCATGGATCTCCTGCATCTGGTAGCTAAGACTGTTGATCAATTTGGTCCCCCAGCACAGCAGTCTAAGAAGATGTGTGTGTGATATCTTGTATGTTGTCTTCCACTGAAGCAACTGTGAGTGCATGTCATTTTTTATTTATTTTGTTATTAGGTGGAATGTAGAGAGATTCCACATTCTATGTAGCAAATCTGTTAGGTAATAACAGATTTTTTAGTAAATACTACAGATCATATAACATTAAAAATAGATGTACAGTACTGTTAAGGCATCATGGGCGAGCATACTCCCGCTCCTTTCCCAGGCCGCTCGTACTATGGCTTTGTCTTGTACCTACTTGGATGGACAGGTATTATTACGTATCTTGTGTGGGCCCTTGTGCCTCACAGTTATTTAGCTGCCCTTGGCCTTACATACATCCCACAGCCATATTGGGCCTTAGCCTTCCCGAGTATGATTATAATGCTGTTAGTGATATTTGTGTTCTTTATTTACCCAGCAATCAATTTAACGTTGGCTGTACAGCCACATGATATACGAACCATCACTGACAGTAAAGCCGTAAGCAAAGAAGAATACCCAGAATTTATTGAATGTGCTGTACCTCCTGTATATGATCTTCCAGTTTCAGAGGTGTGTAGGGCATTGTACAGGTCAGGAGAAAGGTAAAATTTACTACTTATATAGGTATGAATTTGGAACTTTTAACAAAGTTTAATATACAGTGTACACTGTGCAGTATTATTAAAAATACTAAAAATTTAGAATACAGGAATGCTAATCTCATAAATTAGTACAGTACTGTATAGTATATATTTTTAAACACTTATTAAAAAACTGACAGTTACAGTAGAGGATTTTTTTTCTTCACAGCACAGTTTTTAAGTCAAGAGGACCAATCCTTGAGGTCTTGATGTTCATCGTGTCACAGTATGATGAAAAATAAGAGCTGCATGAAATGGAAACCATGAATATGTATAATTAAATATTGGGATGAATTTCTGTTACAAAATATATATCCATCATGCAGAAATGCTTATGCAGCTTATACAGCAATGTATATACAGTACGTACTGTACTTGTATTCAGTATTTTTTATTTTTTTATTTTGGAGTAAAAATTGGATGATGTGCACAAAATCGATTTTGGGTAGAATAAGTTCAGTGTTTTTCTGTGTTTTTAAACTTTCAAAAAATGGCAGACTATTTTATTTACAGATAAAATATCATACATATACATATGTATTGACCATTCAAACTGTGTGCATGTACAGTATTGTTTTATTCAAGCTATGTTCATAATTTTCTTAATTTTTAATATATTTAAAGTTGTGACACTAGTGTCCTGACCTGTAATGAACTGTTAATAAAGTCAGTAACTTATATACATTTTAATATGCATCAAGATTTTTTTTTGTGTATTTGGAGATAATTTTCTTTCTTAGCAATGACTTGGGAACAAAACTCATACTGAAATCATTTAAAGGGTGCACCTGGTGTCTTATGGTGCGTCCACACAAGTGTATATTTTGTCGCAAACCTGTGATCAACAAGTAGACACGCCTCATATTTTCTTGTCAATCACAGTTGGGGACAAAATGTACACTCGTGTCCGCACCCTAAGAGAAGCACACAAACATTGGTGTTAAGTGATGAATGAAGCCATTTAGCAACCTTCCCTCAGGTCAAAAGAAAGGCAACCTATAAAAGTCACAAATATAAAGAAGATACTTTGTAGTTTCTTTAGAAAGGTATACAGTATGTATGGCTTTTCAGACTGACTTTCAGTATGTGTTTTGTTGGATACATAAATTGGAGAGAGTATGTAATGGCTGTCAAGTGGCATTGTTAACCTGTGACTAAAGTGAAGTTTATTCACTGGTACAGGATAAGGCTAATTAAACTTGACAAGATTGTACTGGGTGTAAATCTTAACAATGTTGCCATCATTAATGCCTGCCATATGTGCCAGCCATCCTATAAACCACCACTAACACTATAATCTTTAAAGATCAATATATACAGTATTCACCATACTGTATACAACTTGCATGCTTCATATAAACACAGATCAGTATATACTAAAAATGTGTCTATATATTCTTCATATAAACAGATTAGTATAACTATGTCTCCAATAAAGAGGGCAGTATATTCTCATAAGTATAAACCAATATACAGTATACTCATCAAATAACAGGTCAACAAACTATATACATACACAAATACTGTATATAAGTAAACACTATACAGTATGTATCTTATAACATCAGTGTATATCCATCCTTTAAACATCATTATTTACTGATAATATGAACAGATCAGTATAAAGCATACAGTACTTCACATACTATATCTGTATTATAATCAAGCTTTACACAAATCAATTCATATTCCTATAAGTATTGATCATCATTATAGATAGATCATTAAAACTTCCATAACTTGCATTTACCACAAGTCGGACTCAATCCGAGTTGCCAGCGTATATGCCGAGTTGTAACTGGCCTTGTGGTGCAACACCAGTCTCTCACCAACCAGTTGACAAGCCTGGGCCCTCTGGTGCTAAAGGGCCTACCAAGTCAGTAGTCTCCGTTCTTTCCGTGACACCTGAACTGCTGGATAATATGAGAGCATCCAGCAGTGATTTGTGATTAAATAGTTACTACTCTACAGTACATAGTTTTAAGAGATTACATTTTAGTTTAATGTAACTAAGTTTACCCAGTAGTATAATAAGTTTGATGCAATACTACTTAAATGTTAAGCATGTCAGATGCCAAAGTGCAGTCTCTCTCTCCATCCACCAAGGTTGCAGCAATCATATGGGAAAAAGTAAGTGCCCTGGAGTGTTTAGTGATTATTTATTTTAATACAGCACATACATTTCATTCATTAGGGTTTAGGTAAGTTTTTACATAACAGTTTTGACATTATGGGGCACCAATAAAGATTATTACCTTTAAGTCAGAGTTTTGGTCAAGTCGAACTATAGTCTTGCTTGGGGAAGATTTACTGTACTGTATAATAATTATATAGAGGAATAACTATATACTCATCATAAATATGTGATTAGTACTCTGCAACATACAGAGCAGTGTCCACAGATACTCAAACATATCAGTATACTGTACAGTATATTCATCAAATAAACAGAACAGTATACAGTCTCTCTTCGACTTACGACCTATTCGACTTACGATAACCCGGACATATGACGGCCATGGTCATATAAAATATTTTTCACATTAAGTATTTTCGAGTCCCTACGTTAGTGATTGCGCTGTGTACTGACAAAAAATTTGTTGTAATTCCCTTTAAAATGGCTGGCAAGCTTAAAAGTGAGAGTTCTCGTGGTGCTGAGAAGAAAAAGAGACTCCCATTTTAGATTTTTTATTTATTATTTTTGCCTTTTCAACTTACGAACAATTCGACTTACGAACTGGTCGTCGGGTCGGAAGTCGAGGAGAGACTGTACTCAATATGTAAACATAATTATTACTCGTCCTTGTATTCATCACACAAACCAGTATACAGTAAGTTCTCGCTTAACGTCGTGGTTCCATTCCTGAAAACCATGACGTTAACGGAATCAATTTTCCCCATAAAAAATAGATAAAATACGGGAGTTACGTTCCCCAACCTCCCTTTGCCCCATAAAATACAAAACATATACATAAATTGATTGGAATTTTTATAGAATACAGTATATATTATACATCCAAAAAAAAAATAAACTAAATCATTTTGTATTGTACTCACTGATGGGCAGAGGTGGAGCAAGTGTGTGGTGGGTGGTGGAGTGGAGGAGGGTGGTGAGTCACCGAGACCTGGAGGGTTTAAATTCTCCATTTTCGTAACGAGGCTAATGGTCTTGTGTTGCTTCTACACAACACTAGCACTTGATGGACGCTTGAAAACCATTTTGAATGGTTACAGTACTGTATTTAGAGCAAAAACACTTTAACACGCACATATGCTGTGGAAGCCTAACAAAGACTGGTGACGCCGAGAGAGCGTAGCACGCCAAGATGAGAGATGGTGATGCGCCATACAAAGTTTTCCGTGACGACGTTATAACGAATCAGTCGGGACGTTGTCGGAATCATGGGTATCGAAAGAGTAGCGGCGTTATAATGAAACAACTTTGTCGGGGGCATCGTCAAACGAGGACTGTATAGCTGTCAAGCTCCCTGTGATGACTGAGGATGCAACCATTAAAGTGAAGACGGTTATTTGAAATTAAGAGTTGAAAAGAACTACTGTATAACACCTCAGGTTAGCTTACCTCGAGTGTGTCCCGGGTAGCTATTGTTCACCCCAGCCTCGGAAATAAATTAATTTTAACCCCTCAGAAATACTATGCACATATAGAGTAATTCAATGCCTTACTTTCTGCATAAAATTGCTATCATAAAAACTCAAACTGTACTCGAGTATATATGGTATACTGTACACATCCACTTTATCTCATACAACACAAGGCCATCCATGCCACATACACATAGGTCAGGACTCAGGAACCTTAGAAAATCTCGGTGATTCTGAAAGCTTCTATAATCTAGAATCTTAACTACATCTAATAACACTTTAAATAAACAAGATCTGAATTTACTGTACTAAAAGTATATCATAAGACCAGTATGATAATTTAACTTGAACTAATTTATTATGAGCTTAATTTAGCCAATCTATGTTCGTGTAATATCCTGACTTGTTTTGGATAGTATATTTCAAGAATGTAATCATATATAGAGTGCCAACTATAGTTTGGTCAAGTGTGATTGTAAATAACGTGTTAAATAAAACAGCACAAATTTAACCACACGCATTAATATCCATATTAAGTTATGAAGAAAAAACAAGAAGTTGTTCCTATAGCCAATACATCAGTTGTGCTTTAAGACTTTCATTGGAAGGTTATCCCTATAAAGTTCTATTGACCTTGTGTATTAATTATATGCCCAAGAGTCTTAATGTTAAATAGTAATACACAGTACATTACATATGCAGAGTGTATAATGAACCTGTACTGTCTGTCAACATCATTAAGTTAATGTAACTTGACTACATCCTACTTACAACATAGGTACATAATGTATTCTTTGGTAACATAATAAAAATTTAATCTTTCCCAGAAGTGTTCCAGGATTCACAATCAATGAAGGACTCATTACAGTCCTCACCTCGCTGCCCAGCTTTAATGGCTTGGTAGTTATCGTCAGCTGTGGATACTGATGTGGCGATCTCTGCTAGATTGGTGCTGCAAAAGTGAACCACAAATGTATATAATTTTTCTAATACAGGTGCCTGTACATATGGTATACTACTGTATACAGTATATACCATACAGCATATATTCTTCATTAACATTTATAAAGTACTGTACTGTACAGCATGATGTGTTAATGGTTATGAACACTGGACTAAAAAAGTATACTGTATTTAAGTTACCAGTATGTAAGAAATGAAAAGATTTTTCCACTCCACAAGGGTGGTGGATTTATCCTGAAATATTATTGTTTGGCAGAGTCTGAAGTCAGATGATTTACATAGTGCACAGCTCACTGAACCAATGGATTCTGACCTATACTAGCCTTGGGATCAGTGACTTCAAATAACTGCAGTAAGTCACCAACCAATTAAAAATTGGGAATAAAATAATCCCTCTATGAAAGCTGTTTCCCTATGAGGGAAAACTTGACTGCCAAAGTTGCTGCTGAGGGCAGATCTCTCATGAGCATGTGAAGTCATCTGGAGTATAATTCCTATACCTCTACCAGCACCTGTTGGGCTCCACCATATTGTATTTGGCTCAACCCACTACAGTATATAGCTTCAGGTAGCCTCAGGCCACATATGGAGGTTATCTGAGCTGTATGACTTTGGTTCTGAAGTCCTGAACTAGAACAGGATGAAAACATTAAATACTCTACAGTATATCCAAAACAGGTTTCTATATGAATTTATCAACATACAGTGTAATGTGATTTTCAACAAAATCTAATTTTTGGGCCAAACTGTCGAAAAGGTAAGCCTTACCTCTTGGTAATTTTTCGCCCAAAATATACTTTTTTCACAGAATTGAAATTTGAGGGGTTTAATTAATTAAGTACTTACAGAATAACACTTTAACACCAAGAGCGCACTTTGGAAACCCATAGTTGGCGAGTAATGTGCATTGAAAAATGTAATTAAAATTTCCAAGGGTCATTACAGCCACTAATTACCCCGCACTCGAATCGTGAACCATATATTTGAAATCAGCAGCTCTGGAGTAATGTACTGTATAAAGAAACCCTATATCTGTTAAGGTTAGCTGACCACATACAGTGCAGTACAGCATTTGAGAGAGAAAAAACAAAATCCATGCGTCCAAACCAAGGACATCGCATTCATCTCCACAAAAATAATTTATACAATATATTTTTATTTTTGTTGTGTGTAAATCCACAAGAAAAGAAATTAGTTTATTTAAATATAATGTAAATCTAAATGCTTTTTGGTAACCCAACTGCCTGCATGCATTACATATGTAAATACTGTACAGTACTACCATATGTTGAGTTTATGTAATATTTGTTCACTCATACAATACCATATATCCTTCAGTGCAAATGTATTAAACAAATACAGTATATCAATTAACAGTAGAGTACTGTGTAAATTACTGTTTACTATATTTGTGCAATACTGTACTAATCCACCAGAAATGATTTTGCGATATTTAAATATACGTAGTGTAGTGTAGTGTAGTGGTGTACTGTCCAAGACACCTGTGTATACAGCCTCACCACAGAGATTATATTAAGGTTCCTCTGTTGTTATCATCTTGGCATATTCCTTTTGATGAAATATAATAACTGTAGACCTTGTAGACCATTATTAGTCCACTAAAACATTCCAGATGCACAGGTGTCCAATGATCTGAAGTACAACTGAACACACTTTTCTCAAACAGTAGATGAAAATACAACTGTACAGGTACATGACAAGATAGCACTGTACTGTCTTAGGAGGTATGTCAAGAATAGAATTAACAAAAAAGAAATAAAATGCAAGATTCTTTTTAGGCTCTTAATATAATGTGTTGTGGTAAATAGTTTTAATAACCAAATGACATTATTGGGTAAGAAAAATTACCAACCTGAGGAGCTGCATGGCCAAACGTGGCATAAAGGAAAGTTCCTTAGAGTGAGAGTTCATGTGACACAGGGCACGCTGCAGGCAGTGTGGATGGGCCCCAACCAAGCTTTGACTAAGATCTACAAAAGTTGGCACAGCATCTTTCTTCACAGCCTCCTGCAGTTCATCTCCACCACCCAACAAAGATATTACCTGCGGTAAAAAAGTACAACAGACTCATAAATGGTTAATAAAGATATGAGAAAGAAGTGATAATGTACTGTTTATAAAAGAATTGTGCATACACTTTAATGGTGAATGAACCACTATTATTTTCTTCCTCTTATACTCACCTTGGCAGCCAAACCTCCCACACCTGATGGTACCTCTACGTTGTGGCCCTTCAGATCCCCATACCAAGCATTCATAGTGTATGTGTGCCGCTTCTTACGACTGTCTAGGGCTATGGTGTCACTATCTGTCGTGTTCAACTGATCACCAGATAGGGAAGTCTCAACTTGGCTCTCTCTCTTTAAAGTAAGAATAATCAATTCTAAATTATGGATGAGTTGAAAAGCCTTGTTATAGTGTACAGTATTCATATTTATGAACCACAGTATTCATAACTGGTAAAACTGTACAATATGACTTACCTGTGGTGACTGGTTCCTGGCCCAAGTAGAATGGTCTCTCGGTTTGGTGTATTCTTGCAAGGCCTCTCTTACAAGTGGTTGGATGGATTTAATTGATGAAGATAACCAGTTTCCTGCACCCTCCTCTTCCACCGCTGATCCTACCAAGTCAAAGTCCTGGAGGATGTAAAATGTAAAACTGAATAATAGGATATCATTATCCATTTCATAATAGGTACTGTATTTTGAAAATATACTGCACAGGATACTATACAGTATTGGTGCAACAAGGCACTGGGGTGTTATTTGTTATGGTTCATACTGAGCTGAAAAATTGTAAAGTCAATTTCCCAGGTAACACAAATTCCTCTCACCTGGTGCTACTCCTGAAATTGTGGGAAATGGCATAAAGAATGTCAGCTTAATGTTGGCAGAGATATTGCTCAATGTGATTTTACACGAACATTAGTAAACAGGCTTAATTAAAAATAGGAAATGTATGTATAAAGGAAAATGCCTAACATGCTCTTTCTATGACTATTAAATCTGAAGAGAACAGAATTTTTCAGAACCTTTTTATATTGTGTCTTGGGTGTTACTGTTTAGTATGTACAACACACTACTACCTAGGTGTATGTGCAGGAATTCTACTGTATTTATACTGACCACCTGTATATCTTGAAATAAGGGGAGGGCTAAGGTCTTGCAGAATCCTTCCTGGTTTTTCATTAAAAAAAAAAGGATTATCATTAAAATTCACTTTAAAACCAAGCACCTGTAGTAGAGGCAACTAAACTGTTATGTTTGCACTGAAAGATCAAGAGATATCTCTCTCTCTCTCTCTCTCTCTCTCTCTCTCTCTCTCTCTCTCTGAACAAATGAGAGTTTAATGGCAGGTGGACTAAGTTTTTCCTTTAATTTACTTTTACCTAATCCTCTTTGCCAACAATCAGCCCGTTGGCCACGTGGGTGGTTGGTCAGGCCTCTGTTGGCAAGTACCTGTGACAGTGTTGGCTAAGTCTGGCGTTGAAGATGCTCACACTCAGTGCCGTCACAAGATTCTCTGCCAGGTTATTCCAAGAGTTCACATCACTCCAAACCTTATACTCTCTCAAGAAGGGAGAGAGAGAGAGAGTCTTCAGTGGGAGCATTATCAGAAGTCACAGGCCACTTAAAACAAGTCACAGGTCACTCAAAACAGATCACAGGCCACTCAAAACAGATCCCAGGCCACTTAAAGCAGGTCACAGGCTATTGCTTGGATGGGTGTTTAAAAAAATCCTGACAAAGTTTGACATGTACAATATAGGGCTTTAATCTCTTATTTCTTGAGTGTGTGGATTTGTTAGTATCCAACACACTCATACAAATATACAGTATCATACACTTAATGAGCTTATGAGATACTGTAGTGTCTTGTAGAATCCACAACTCTATACCCTAATAACAAGAGTGTCCCATTCTACATTTCTTTAAAATTCATATCTATAGAAAGTACGTATTGAAGAGGAGCTGTGGCCTCTTATAAAATTCCTACTTGTATTGTGCGGCGAACTCTAGATGGACTGGGGTTCTGAAGGAAGCTCATTATGGAGGAGATCATCTTCAATCTAGTAGTGATGAAGCCGCCCATCCCCATAGGATTTTCATCTCGACCATCTCGTTCCACAGGTTGCTGGAAAAAACAGTATTATTATTACTTTTATTACCTTTATTATTATTATTATTATTATTAATATTATTATTATTATTATTATTATTTTGCCACTTATCAGCTTACTAGCCTTTTGTGTGGTTGGTCTACCCAGTGTTAGTAAAGGAGGGGACTTGGGGAAACCTGTGATGAGAATATTATCATTAAAGTGCAATCTATTCAAAAAATAAATAAATGCTGGTAAAGTACAAGTAAAAAACATGTAAAAATGATGTTAATACAGGTAGTAAAGAAATGTTCTCTCTGTAAATTACCAGCTTTAATTAATTGCATTTACTTGTGGAGGATTACAATATTGTACTGGATTCAATAAGAATTCACATATTCTTGCATATACTGTATTGAAGCACAGTACTGTACCTTATTTATATAAACCTTTTTCAAACCCTTTGGAAAATATAAAATCCCAGTACAGTATTATACTGTATAGCAAAAGAGAAACTGCTTAACAATATCTGAGTTACTCGGTACAGTATGTACTTGGATCTACAGTACCAGTGATATCTATGTTAGCCAGAACAATTGGTGCAGACCATTTCTGGGAATGAGAGATTTTCGGGTAACAAGACGACTCGGATGTTTTCGTCTAACAATACTGATTTAATTTTTTAATCTACATAAAGAGATGAAAAGGGGAGTTGTTATAGAAGTTAAATAATAATGAAAGGATTACATACCTTAGACCTTCTTATTCCAAGTGCCTGAGGAAGCTTTATAAAGAAATTCTCAAGGAAGGAAAAGCTACGAGGAGTAGCCTCGGAAACTTTCACCATTCTGTCCTGCCGTGCTTCAGCTTCCCCTTCTTCACCAGAATGCTGAACAACACCATTGGGCTCAGGCTGCTCTTGGTGAAGGTCCTCCGGTAACTGCTCTTCCTCAAGATATGAAGTAGAGTAGTGTCCCTCCTCCTCTTCCTCCTCCAGATGATCCTGTCCAAGTTGCAGGGATCGTCGCCGTCGGCCATTGTTATTCTGCAGCACATCCTACCATCACAACAGTAGACAGGAAAATTTTAGTTAGGTCATCGTGTGTTTAGGGACCATTTCAAACAATGATGAACTGACCAGGCCAAAACTGACAGTTCTACCCACTATAAAACCAAGGTGCATGTAAAGCTCAGAGTTTCATGTTTTACCTGGATGAGATTGAGGAAATAGAGGAACCCAAGGAGGGCCAGAGCTGACAGGGCTGGTGAGGACTCAGGGTTCTCCACAGCCACTCCTCCTGTACCATAGGCTGCCATGGGTCTGTTGAGATGATACACACAACATAAATGGAGATGCTCTTACTGCAGTCAGGTGTACATTATTGGTGTGTTGTAGGAACTAGTTGGTTTATAGGGATGATACTAACTGTAAGAGACCAGTCCTGTTATAAAGGTCCTCCATAATATGTACAATACAGTGAACCCTTTATTTAATGCATTATATGGAGATGAAAAGTTCATTATATTGAGGATGAGTTATATGGAGACAAGTCCGTCATATGGAGACTTCACTGTCAGAGAGCCAGGACAAGTTAACAGTAGCACAGTACGTATAGGCATAATAAATCATCTGCCATACACTTAGGGGGGTGAAGTGCACTTGATACATAGCCAGGTAAACACTTCTTAAATAATCTACACTAAATGCATGTTTCAGCATACTGTATCTTGGAGATCAGATCTATTTATTATTTTTCTAAAACCAGACTTTAGTACATACAAAATAGGACTGATGGATTTTTTATGCACTGTGAGGTTAAGATACAGTACTGTACAGTATACTAAATATGTCTTAACTTGTTTGATGCATCTTTTGGCCCAGATTGTGCTCTAAAAATACATTAAAAACAGCACTGTACTGTACATGGATTACATGATTGGGGTAAGACGTCCTATATTACATGCCCTTAGGGAGAAGTATTTTATGTTCTGATATAATAAAAAAATATGTAAAAATTGTATAGGTACACAAGTTAACTCTGACATAGATTGAGGGACTTTGATAAACGAAATATCATTATTATTACCAGGGTATTATAGTTATTATTACTATCATACTCACGCATAAGACTCTTGACCATAGTCAGGGATGCTGGCATAGCTACTGTCACGGTCATAGTAGCTGGCAGGGTTGAGTCCATACTGTTGCATGAGGGAGTTGAAATCTGTTGTAACCTGGTACCCATTGTTGTTGGCTTGTTGTTGTGGTTGCTGTTGTTGTGGTAGCTGTTGTTGTAGTTGCTGTTGTTGTAGTTGCTGTTGTTGTAGTTGCTGTTGTTGTAGTTGCTGTTGTTGTAGTTGTTGTAGTTGTTGTTGTTGTTGCACATTGTTGTTGTTGTAGCCATAACCTAAATTGTTTCCCTGGCCACCATAGAACTGCCGCCCCACATTTCCTAGAACAAAATCCAGACTAAATTAGGGGGGAAAGTGTACAGCTTAAATCTGCTTCAGTAGTGTGTAGAGTTGATAGTATTACAAAGTACATACAGTGTATAGCAAGGTACATTACAAAGTGTCCATATCTGAAGCTGGCAGATGCCCATCCCATTGGAGGTTACAGCTTAAGGTTGATGAAGCTACACGTTAAAAAAAATTGTCAGGATAAACTTTTCAGGCACTAGTTTGATCCTGTGTAATCTACTAACTTAAAAGCCTCTGACTTGGTTTCGTCTTGGTGAATTCACTTGACTGCCAAAGGACATGCATCATTATAATAAGTGCAAGGATGTCTCACCGTTATGGAGGTTAGCAGCCTGAGTACCAGTGGTGAGTACAGTGCCACCCACCACCACCACCACCACGCCCACTAGATGTACCGCCCACATCCTGTAAGAAAAAAAAAGTAAGAGAATTATGCAAGCATCACTCCCACCCTAGCAGGTTGTCACACCACTTACTTAGGGCAACACCCTACTCATATACAGGCAACACTAATCACGTACAGGCAACACTCTACTTACGTACAGTACAGGTACAGTCACCCCAAAAAGTCCTGTCACGAACCACGAGATTCAGACTCGTGAACCCGAAGCAGTAGACACTGATACATTATTGTCCATAAATGCTTCGGATTCAAGAGTCTGAATCTCGGGGTTCGTGGTTCGTGACAGGACTTTTTGGGGTGACTACCATTCTACTTAAGTACAGGCATCACTACACCCACATACAGGCATCACTACACCCACATACAGGCATCACTACACCCACATACAGGCATCACTACACCCACATACAGGCATCATTACACCCACATACAGGCATCTCTCAACTCTGTAAACAAACAAGCTAAAGGTAACCAAACAATTTTAACATGGCGATAAATGTATTCAGAAAGTAACTTAGGTAAAACTACGGCTAATCTCGTAATGAACAATCAATAACACCAGACACGATATTAAAAAATCTAATTTAAAACTGCCTTCCTTGTTTTCTGAGGTCGAATTGTTGCTAACGTGACTTAAGTTTGTAAATTATTGTTTTTGTGAGCTTATGATTAATTTTATCGAGACAGTTTGTTCCTATTATCGTGACAGTGTGTGTGTGTGTGTGTGTGTGTGTGCGTGTCAGTCAGTGGCCGTGGCAAGGTGTAATAAGGCTGGTGTCATCATTGGAGCCATTTGTTCCAGTACTTGGTGTAGGGAGCGGCTTTCACTCTCCTTCCTCCCTGTTGCGGACAGAAGAAAGCGCAACGCCACAACTACAATATAACTAAATAAATAACTGACAAATGGTATAAATAAACGCTAATATAGTCGAGTGAGTGATTTGAGAACTTATTGTATGTAAAAAGAATATGGACCTCTTTCACTCTCTCATCTCATCTCTCCCATGAATGAATAGAAAACAAAATAAACGAATAATATGGGTAAATATGACCCTACAATAAATATTTCTGGGGTATTTTAAATGTTTTATGTTTCAGACAATTTGACCGAACGTAAAATTTGATGACATGGAGACAAGGTACGTCGTAGATACACTAAAATGACATCGTGGTGTCTCCTGATGTGGCCTGCAGGGTGTGGGGAGGGGGTGCTGGTGGGAGAGGGGTGGTGGTGGTGGGAGGGGTGGTGGTGGTGAGAGGGGTGCTGGTGGGAGGGGTGGTGGTGAGAGAGGGGTGGTGTGGGAGAGGGGTGGTGGTGGTGAGAGAGGGTGCTTGTGGGAGAGGGTGCTGATTGGGGGGGCGCGGTGGAGGGGTGATTGTGAGGGAGGGGTGATGGTGAAGGGGAGGGGTTCTGGTGAGGAAGGGTGCAAACTCGATTCTTAAATATTCGTAGGCTACATTAAAGCTGATGTTTTTACCGTGACCACTAAATCTGTAAAATAAAGATACCATTAAAATCCCAGAGTCTACTTACGTAAATATTTCACTGATTTGGAAAAAATGACAAGGCATCTCTTAACTTCAGGAGTCACTCTTAAGCCGTCTATACGCGTCGTTTCAGTGAGCCAACAGGATGTATTCTTCCATCGTCAGATTGCGGAGAAGAAAGGAGATGGGGGGGGGTAAGGGTGGAGACACTGCTGGGGGGTAGAAAGGGAGGAAGGGGAAGGCGGGGTTAGAAAGGGAGTGTACGGCTGGTAAGGTAAAAAGAGGGAGGGAGAGGGGAAGGGAGGAGGAAGGGGGAGACAAGAGTGGAGAAGGTTCCTCTCTGACCTACAACTGGTGTGGCTCGTCTAGTGACACCCACGACACACTTTTCTAACGCACAGTTATCTCATACACCCGAACTGTCTCACACACACACCCCCCTCCCCTCCCCCACACCTAACAATAGAGGGTAGTGGTGAATAGTGACAGGTGGATCTGTAATGGTGGCCAACAGAGAGAGGTGGAACATATGTGAATGATTGTCTCTCTCATAAGATGTTACTACACCTTACTGATGTCACGAGTCACTTAACAGAAAACGATTTATTATAATATATTGTGCATTTTAAAATTAATTTCGCCTCCATTCCACGAGAGCCTCACTCATTAGTTATTTAATCTCTTTCATTAGATATTTTAGGTATACAGTATATGGGGTACATAGGAGTACTTAATGTAATCCAAGAAATTCATATAAAGGTCAAGTAAAACCAAAGATACTATACTCAATGTAGTATATTTGGTATATGCTTTAAAATACATTACTGTACGTCAAAAAGTGAATTAGTTCATATGACAACAATCATCAACCACTAACCAGAAATGCAAAGTACACCCGTATAGCATGTAGGGCGTGGCACTGTACTGTGTTCGGGAAAGCTTACAACTACTAGAGATTTTGGTGCTGTATTTCAGAGGCTAGTTACTACTGTTGAGTACTATATGGTAGAGATGCAATTTATCATTTAGAAAGCTAGAGTAATGAGGTTCCAGATGATGTTATGGGTGATCGATCATAGAAGTTAATGGAGAGGTGTGCCTGACATTTTAATTTGTTGACACCAAGAAGTCTGCTTATAGAGGAAAAATCATAACTGAAAAAGGAACTGAAATCAGAATGAAACACAACGCTGGGACTACTGAAATATATATGTGGGGTGTAAAGTAACCTACTGTAGCAATGAAACTATTTATATTGTTCAACAACTACCGCTACAAATTTGGTAAGGGGGACGGTGGCACAGTGTTTCAGGAAATAGTGAGGTTAGCCAGAATCACCGAGCAGACACCGCAACGGAACACGCCCTCACTCATATGTAATTACGCTCAGAAATGTTTGAAGTGTTTGGCTAACAGGAACCATAAAATTTGTTTCTCTTGTAATTATTCATTTTAATCCTATCGTTTTTTTTTTTACCCACGAGATAAATCAGATATTTTAGCACAATTATCGCATCAAAATTTATATATTATTACTTGAAAAACATACAGTAATCCAGCACGAGCTCCCTTTAGCCATGTGTAGCTTGGGACTGATCCAGTTTCAGTCGCACCTGTTAATTCCAGCATATTGCAGTCAAAACTTAGTGAATCGCATAATGCTGAGAACTGATGCGTTACCAATTTTTATAATAAAATCTGAATGTTATGATTTTATGTCGATGAATTAATACAAGGCCGGTGAACCATATACTTGTAATGTAGTTCATTTCTACACAAAGACTTATTTTAATATGATGAAAATTTATCTACGGCAAATGGCCCATGATATATTTCCATTCTCGCACCCTCTGACCCATCATGTCTTGAGCCCTCGAGTGATGACAACTGGTGGAAGCAGAGGACAAGTTTTACTGTACTGTTAGCACCGTCTACCGTTACCGTACTTATTAGAAGCCATTATAAGTTATCTCCTTCTGTGATGGTCGCCTTGTGTGGGAGCGAACAGCGGCGAGTGCAATAGTGTCTCCACTCAACACAGTTTCAAGGGTTTGGTGTCACTGATAGAGTTCTTTGATGCCTCACCCACGCTCTGGTCCACCGACAACCGCATGACACAGCCTAGTGCGTTGGTTGGTGACCTCCAGAAGCTGCGCCATTTCCTACATCTCTTAAAATTCATGTTTATCCTCACTTCTCCGGAGGGTCACTTGTTTCAAGGGCAAAATTCCAGATTATCGAACCTGACGTGACAAGATTTATCTGGTACTCCAAGCTTTGTCAATAAATTTGTAAAGCTTAAACTTAAACAGGTACTTTAACAGGCAATGGTCGGTGAATTTGGCATCCTGTGTACCGCCGGCAAGGCCGTGGGCTCGTAACACACGTCTTGCCCGCGGTGCCCACCGTTTCTCTGTGGATGTCGGTCACACTAGAATAACCTGTTATAGTACATCCTTCTTTCCTCACACAGCCAAACTGTGGAATGCTCTGCCTTCTTCTGTGTTTCCAGACTCATACAATGTCTCTCTCACTTCGCCCCCCCAGGGTCCGTTGTGGGTCGATGACCTGTGCCCGGGTGGGCTATTCCCCATAAAAAAAAAATCCAGTGGAATACTTACCGAATTGGATTATTTTTAGTCGGCATCTTCGTGGTGTAGATTAATACAGTATAACCTTTTTTTCTATATTTTCAATTTCTTTCCGTTCTTTTTTTTCGCCCCCCAGGCTCCGTTGTGGGTCGTTTGACCTGTGCCCGGGTGGGCTAATTCCCGTAAAAAAAAAAAAAATCTGTCTACGAATCAATAAATTGGGATCACCGGCGGATTAATGCCTATAAATGATAACTATTTATTTTTTCTTCTGATCCTTAGATCTCACGTTACTGATACGAAATACCACAGTTATCTCTGGTTACAAAGATCGTATTTACCGCAGCGGGCCGCCGCGGTGGTCGCCTCCCTGGATGAGACTAACCTAACCTGAGTGCGGACGACGACGAACAGTAAAAGAACTTTCTTGGTGTTTTATACAACTTATTTATTTGTTTCAGAATCTCAGGATTAAAATCTGACGTAATTAAAGATTTAAAAAAATATATACCTCATCTCGACCCTCTTATACTTCGACTCAATCCTCTATACCTCTCAAGTATTCTCTATACCACTACTCTATAATGAAATTCCGTATTAATAACACAATGATATTCCCTATCAACATCACACAATTACACTCGATATTTACGTTAACACTGCTTAGTCTATCACCACACGGCGACTACACCACCAACACACAATATCGTACTGTAGATCAACCGAACTCCAAAGTATCTCACGGTAACACACTACTCGTCTCCGCTTTCTTCACTTTGTCAATTTCCCGTCATTATTAGAGTGTGGCGTTGAGCGCAAAATGTCTGATCTGTGAAATAGCCCACCAGCCACCAGGGAATATCTTGAGTACGGGATGGGAAGAGGATTAACTTGGGTTAGGATAGGTTATTTTAGGCATTTTAATCGCAAGTAGAGCAAAATGTACGTTATCCATATTGTTCTATTATTTTCATCTTCATTTTAACTTACTAAATGTTTCATGAGTTCCTTGCTGACATTAGCCATTTTTGTCTGCTGACTGGCGGGAGAGCGAAGATCTCAAGGAAAGATCATCCATCATTCGTGGTATTTACACCAGAAACAACTTTCACCACGATAAACCTTAGATACCACTACATATAAGAACACTTCAGACATACAGTACACTACCTATAAAACTGGCCCAAAACCCGGTACAGCCCAAACACTGTAGTTTGGCATACACCGTCATCATTAAACATCACAATTTTTTCGGTAAAACACACCGCACGTCTATCATGTTCCTGAGAAAGTTTTGAGCGTGAAGTATCTGAAGTATCACTCTAGTCCGACGCTGATGAAAAACGAAGACTAACTCCCCTAACTTATTTCCGCGCTCAGTTCCCGCTGTCAACAGACCACACATGTAACAGACCCGCAGTTCTGATTACAGTGAGCGGCGACGTGCTTAGGTTAACGCTTTTGACAGTAATGGCAAGTCTCCAGCTGAGCATATGTACAGGTGTTGCACTAGATTAATGAGACGCGGTGAGAGCTAAGTAATATGGTGATACCGTGGGACCACAAGGGGCGTCAGCAGTCACCCACGGCGACGGCTGCTGCTGCCCTGCTGCCCAAAAGTGTTGGCTACAGCTGCCGTGTCGACCCTTCACAGGTGGTTAGGTGTGAAGGTAGCTACAGCCGACGCCTACGGTAGTTTATTGACCCTTTGATGACGCGGCCGTTCTGCCCACGCCCACTATCAGACACCGGATGGAGGGTGCTCCAGTAACTCCGTTCACATTATGAAATTATGTTTATATACATGATAACTCAAGTCATGAGAGCATCAGGCGGGAGTGAAGTTTTAGGGCGAGTGTTTATTGAGAGCCCGGAAGATACCTTATAACCACCATGCATTATGAAGGAGACGACCAGCGGAACTAAACACCATCGCTGCGTCTACGGTGTTCACCGAATCATTAAGATGAACATAGAACACTAGCGAATTCTATAATATAAATACTATTAAAGTAACATATCGTGTACACAGCCGATTTGTGTCATCGTCGAGCAGCAGAGAAGAATGCAGACGTCGTTGGCAAAGATTTTAGACCTTAACAACCCGCTGTTTTAGGGGCGTTTCAACTTAGTTCATGTGAAGAATACGATGAATCATGGGGTGAATGATAATTAATGCCTCCACTCCACCACTGAACATCCAGTACATAGTCATTCCTATACCTCACTGTATTCCCGAGGCAGCCTCAACATATGACAGTAGCAGTGTTTAGGTGTTTAGCAGTACAATAGGGGTACTTCAGACAACTTTCCAAATCTTGAGATAAGTTCCCTACTGTTGCAATCTTCATGATACAACATAAGAAATTCACTGCAACACAACACAGGAATGAATGCATCTGACTATGACCCCCCCCCCTCTACTCCAACCAGCATTTTAACACCCTACGGGCCTGGGCTTGGCAGGTATGAATATATAAAACTTGGCTCGATTTCTCAATGGTTTTACGTTTATTTCTCCCTTAACTGTAGCCAGAGAACTGGGACGCAATTTAAACACAGATGGAAACTGGAAAAGACACTGCATCAAGACTACCTCGTAACAGCAGGAGGACTTATCTTCATCACTTACAGGAAAAACTGACGAAGCTACGAGTCATACAATATTTCTCTTCTTGTCGTGTATTTCCATTTTACATTTAATAAATCATACGAAACAGTCAAACTACAAATTTGTTCAAAGTTGTGTGAACATTTAACTAATTTATAAACTATATATTTCACGCACTTTTTTTTATTAATGGAGCATGTGGGGGTTCAATTAACAGTCAGCTGTGTAGAGAAGTACGTTTAAGTAAAAACAAAAGTTCGCCAAGAAATCTACCGTCAGATTTAGTTTGGCACCACCTGTCAACTCTCCATTCTGGACTCTCACGTTAAATCTACTGAGTATACTTCATTACACCGCTTTTTGTTAGGGGAGGAAGGGTAGACGCGCTGGGATGGAAAATTAGCGGGTGTTACGCTTGTGAACATATGATACAAAAATCACTTGGATATCTCATGAAGTAAGATGCATTATACAGAGGCCTACAATATTTTGGTTCCTCTACGTTATACTCGTATATATCTTTCTTCCAGAATCCTGTTAACAGTCAAAGAGAAGGATGGGTGTAACGGACTTAGATAAGGGGTGAGAGAAAGTTGCGGTACATAAGCTGAAATAGGACTAACGGGGCACAGGTAAGGTAATTAATCGGTCAAGAGTAAAATTCTTAAAAAAAAAAAAAAGCTTCACGATTTTCCCCCAAACTGAAGATGTAAGCATATTTATCAACTACAACACATATTTAAGACCCAAAATGGCGTCAAAACTATACTGAAACTCTAAACTACACCAGTAAATATATCTTATGGAATTCTGATCACCAGTTAGGGTTAAACAAAATAAATGTACGGATCTTTCAGGAACTCGATCCTTTGTTGCTATGCGAGTCTGGATTCTCTGGAATTCCCAAGTCATGGTATAGTGGCCGCAACCCTCACCGATGGGCCTACAAGATTTTATCGATCAGTCAGGGGTTATATATCACGTGATGATATTTGAGCGTGTACAAGAGCTGCCAAGGTTAATTCAATTATTCAATTTCGTATCTAAAAATTCTATTAATCTACTTACAATAATAAATATTTACTATATCTAAATAACGTTGAAAATATCCAGAAATTTTTCCCGTTTTGACATTCCAAACATGTTAAAAAAAATGACCCCATCCACCTAAGAATTTCATCATCATCATTTCAGGCCTATATTTTTTCTGTCCAATAACCATAATATATTTTAATCGTAACTTCAAGATATAATGTACCACCTTAGTGAAGATAGTTTACAAGTGGATATATTTATTAAACTTCTCCCTCACTCACAACTATAGTATCATCATCGTCATCACTGGAATTCCAACATCCATCAACACTTAGTTTAAGAATAGTCAGTCTTAATCTGGTAAAAACATGAAAAATCTTGACAAAATGTGACCCTTGTTTACAATGCCTCTCCACACACACTGAGAGCAGCTTCACCGTGTTCGTCACTATCCTCTTTCATCTCTACATCAAGCCAGAGTATACCCAGATCCAAGCCTTTAACAAAAAAAAAATCCCCTTGAATACTTTTCAGTCATAAAATTATTTCAATATAAATAAAACACTGTAAAGTCATCACAGGTATAATTTAAAAGATCCTAGTTTATGAGAACAAATTATAGGGAACCTTGACTCTTTGTAGAGGCCTTATAGGCTTAGTGAGTCTTGTCTGAACATAGGTGGGTCACATAGCTCGATAAAAATAATGACTCAAAAGGCGGTCAGGTTCTTCATCATGACATTGTTCTTAATATACATCAGGAAAATTAAAAAATACATATATTAAAGCACTCAAGGATTTTATTTGCTCATTCTTTTCAATAGTGTGTTACAGTATGAACGCATAATGATAGATCAATTCTATCTCAATTTCTCCTCTCCCCACCCCTGTAATTATAGCGTCACTCTTTATCTCCCTCCTTCTATCTTTGTCTGTCTGTCTCCGTGAGTCTCTGTATGCACTGTCTCTCTGTCTGTCTATAACACATTTAAATCTACCGTTCGCCTTGGCTCTCTTTCCCTTACAGGACAAAATAGCGCTCCACTGACTAAGCTACGACACTACACACCGCTTACTGGCCTTTTTCACTTCAGTCTTCTGTTTGTCGTCTTCTGTTGGTGTGGTCTGTTTGTCGTCTCCTGTTGGTGTGGCCTGTTTGTCGTCTTCTGTTGGTGTGGTCTGTTTGTCGTCTCCTGTTGGTGTGGTCTGTTTGTCGTCTCCTGTTGGTGTTGGTGTGGTTTGTGTCTCCTGTTGGTGTCTGTTTGTCTCTCCCTGTTGGTGTGGTCTGTTTGTCGTCTCCTGTTGGTGTGGCCTGTTTGTCGTCTCCTGTTGGTGTGGTCTGTTTGTCGTCTCCTGTTGGTGTGGTCTGTTTGTCGTCTCCTGTTGGTGTGTCTGTTTGTCGTCTCCTGTTGGTGTGGTCTGTTTGTCGTCTCCTGTTGGTGTGGCCTGTTTGTCGTCTCCTGTTGGTGTGGTCTGTTTGTCGTCTTCTGTTGGTGCAGTCTGTTTGTCGTCTTCTGTTGGTGTGGTCTGTTTGTCGTCTCCTGTTGGTGTGGTCTGTTTGTCGTCTCCTGTTGGTGTGGTCTGTTTGTCGTCTTCTGTTGGTGTGGTCTGTTTGTCGTCTCCTGTTGGTGTGGCCTGTTTGTCGTCTCCTGTTGGTGTGGCCTGTTTGTCGTCTCCTGTTGGTGTGGCCTGTTTGTCGTCTCCTGTTGGTGTGGCCTGTTTGTCGTCTTCTGTTGGTGTGTGGCCTGTTTGTCGTCTTCTGTTGGTGTGTCTGTTTGTCGTCTTCTGTTGGTGTGGTCTGTTTGTCGTCTACTGTTGGTGTGGCCTGTTTGTCGTCTCCTGTTGGTGTGGCCTGTTTGTCGTCTCCTGTTGGTGTGGCCTGTTGGCCTGTCTCCTGTTGGTGTCCTGTTGGTGTGGTTGTCGTCTGTTGGTGTGGCCTGTTTGTCGTCTCCTGTTGGTGTGTGTTTGTCGTCTCTGTTGGTGTGGCCTGTTTGTCGTCTCCTGTTGGTGTGGCCTGTTTGTCGTCTCCTGTTGGTGTGGTCTGTTTGTCGTCTCCTGTTGGTGTGCCTTGTTGTCGTCTCCTGTTGGTGTGGCCTGTTTGTCGTCTCCTGTTGGTGTGGCCTGTTTGTCGTCTCCTGTTGGTGTGGTCTGTTTGTCGTCTTCTGTTGGTGCGGCCTGTTTGTCGTCTCCTGTTGGTGCGGTCTGTTTGTCGTCTCCTGTTGGTGCAGTCTGTTTGTCGTCTCCTGTTGGTGCGGTCTGTTTGTCGTCTCCTGTTGGTGTGGCCTGTTTGTCGTCTCCTGTTGGTGTGGCCTGTTTGTCGTCTCCTGTTGGTGTGGTCTGTTTGTCGTCTTCTGTTGGTGCAGTCTGTTTGTCGTCTTCTGTTGGTGTGGTCTGTTTGTCGTCTTCTGTTGGTGTGGTCTGTTTGTCGTTGGTGTGTGGTCTGTTTGTCGTCTTCTGTTGGTGTGGTCTGTTTGTCGTCTCCTGTTGGTGTGGTCTGTTTGTCGTCTCCTGTTGGTGTGGTCTGTTTGTCGTCTCCTGTTGGTGTGGTCTGTTTGTCGTCTTCTGTTGGTGTGGTCTGTTTCTCGTCTTCTGTTGGTGCGGTCTGTTTGTCGTCTGTGGTTAGTACGGATACTTCATCTTCTGTTGATTCTGCCTGTTCGTCGTCTCCTGTTGATTCTGCCTGTTCGTCGTCTTCTGTTGATTCTGCCTGTTCGTCGTCTCCTGTCGATTCTGACTGTTCATCGTCTCCTGTCGATTCTGCCTGTTCGTCGTCTCCTGTGGATTCTGACTGTTCATCGTCTCCTGTTGATTCTGACTGTTCGTCGTCTGTTGATTCTGACTGTTCGTCGTCTCCTGTTGATTCTGCCTGTTCATCGTCTTCCGTTGGTGCAGCCTGCAGGTCATCGCTCCCTGTTGGTCCTGCCTGCTGGTCAGCGCTCCCAGTTGGTGCAGGCTGTAGGTCATCACTCCCTGTTGGTGCAGGCTGCAGGTCATCACTCCCTTTTGGTGTAGCCTGCAGGTCATCACTCCCCATTGGTGCAGCCTGCAGGACGTCAATCCCTTTTGGCGCAGCCTGCAGGTCATCACTCTCTATGGGAGCTGCCTGAAGGTCATCACTCCCAGTTGGTACAGCCTGCAGCTCCTTACTCCCTGTTGGTGCAGCCTGCAGGTCACCACTCCCTGTTGGTGCAGCCTGCAGGTCATCGCTCCCTGTTGGTGAAGCCTGCAGGTCATCGCTCTCTGCTGGTACAGCCTGCAGGTAATCGCTCCCTGTTGGTGCAGCCTGCAGGTAATCGCTCCCTGTTGGTATAGCCTGCAGGTAATCGCTCCCTGTTGGTACAGCCTGCAGGTAATCGCTCCCCGTTGGTTCAGCCTGCAGGTCATCGCTCCCTGTTGGTTCAGCCTGCAGGTCATTGCTCCCTGCTGGTGTAGCTTGTAGATCATTACTCCCTGTTGATGCAACCTGCAGGTCATCGCTACCTGTTGATACAGCTTGTAGATCATTACTCCCTGTTGATGCAACCTGCAGGTCATCGCTACCTGTTGGTACAGCCTGCATGTCATCGCTCCCTGTTGGTACAGCCTGCAGGTCATCGATAACTGTTCTTGTAGCTTGCAGGTCATCACTCCTTGCTGGTGAAACCTGCAGATCATTACTCCCTGTTGGTTCAGCCTGCAGGTTATCACTCCCTGTTCGTACAGCCTGCAGGTCATCACTTCCTGTTGGTGTAGCCTGCAGATTATTACTCCTTATTGGTGCAGCCTGCATGTCATCGCTCCCTGTTGATACAGCCTGCCGGTCATCGCTCCCTGTTGGTGCAGCCTGCAGGTCATCAATCCCAGTTGGTTCAGCCTGCAGGTCAACGATAACTGTTGGTGTAGCTTGCTGGTCACCACTCCCTGTTGGTGCAGCCTGCATGTCATCGCCCCCTGTTGGAACAGCCTGTAGGTCATCACTCGCTGTTGACGCGTCCTGCAGGTCCTCGATAACTATTGGTGCAGCCTGCAGGTCACTGCTCCTTGTTGGTGTAGCCTGTAGGTCATCGATAACTGTTGGTGCAGCCTGCAGGCCATCGACAACTTTTGATGCAAACTCCAACTCATCACTTCCTGATGGTGCAGACTGTAAGTCCTTACTCCCTGTTGACGCGGCCTGCAGGTCATCACTCCCTGTTGGTGTAGCCTGCAGGTCATCACTCCCTGTTGGTGCAGCCTGCAGGTCATCAGTCGCTGTTGGTCCAGCCTGCAGGTCATCACTCCCTATTGGTGCAGCCTGCAGGTCATCACTCCCTGTTGGTGCAGCCTGCAGGCCATCACTCCCTGTTGGTGCAGCCTGCAGGTCATTGCTCCCTGTTGGTGCAGCCTGCAGGTCATCGCTCTTTGTTGGTGCAGCAAGCAGGTCATCGCTCTTTGTTGGTACAGCAAGCAGGTCATCGCTTCTTGTTGGTGCAGCCTGTAGGTCATCGCCCCCCGTTGGTGCAGCCTTGAGGTCATTGCTCCTTGTTGGTGCAGCCTGTAGGTCATCACTCCTTGTCGGTACAGCCTGCAGGTAATCGGTAACTGTTGGTTCAGCCTGCAGGTTATCACTAACTGTTGGTGCAGCCTGCAGGTTATCACTAACTGTTGGTGCAGCCTGCAGGTCATCGGTAAATGTTGGTACAGCCTGGAGGTCATCACTAACTCTTGGTGCAGCCTGCAGGTCATCATTAACTGTGGGTGCAGCCTGCAGGTCAAAACTAACTGTTGATGCAGCCTGAAGGTCATTACTAACTGTTGGTGCAGCCTGCAGGTCATGGCTTCCTGTTCGTACAGCCTGCAGGTCATCGGTAACTGTTGGTTCAGCCTGCAGGTTATCGGTAACTGTTGAAGCAGCCTGCAGGTCATGGCTTCCAGCCTGCAGGTCATTAACTGTTGGTTAGCCTGCAAGTCACCGGTAACTGTTGGTACAGCCTGCAGGTCATCGGTACCTGTTGGTGAAGACTGCAGGTCATCGGTACCTGTTGGTACAGCCTGCAGGTCGTCGGTAACTGTTGGTACAGCTTGCAGGTCAACGTGAAGCGTTGTTCAGCCTGCAAGTCATCGGATCCTGTTGGTGCAGCCTGCAGGTCATCGCTCTTATTGGTGCACCTTGCAGGTCATCGCTCATTATTGGTGCAGCCTGCGGGTCATCGCTCTTTGTTCGTGCAGCAAGCAGGTCATCGCTCTTTGTTGGTGCAGCACGCAGGTCGTCGCTTTTTGTTAGTGCAGCCTGTAGGTCATCGCCCCAAGTTGGTACAGCCTGCAGTGGTGGTAACTGTTGGGTCAGCCTGAGTTATCACTAACTGTTGGTAGAGTCTGCAGGTCATCACTAGCTGTTGGTGCAGCCTGCAGTTCATCACTAACTGTTGGTGCAGCCTGCAGGTCATCACTAATTGTTGGTGCAGCCTGCAGGGCATAACTAACTGTTGGTGCAGCCTGCAGGTCATCGGTAAATGTTGTTAGAGCCTGGAGGTCATCACTAGCTGTTGGTACAGCCTGGAGGTCATCACTAGCTGTTGATACAGCCTGCAGGTCATTACTAACTGTTGGTGCAGCCTGCAGATCATGGCTTCCTGTTCGTACAACCTGCAGGTCATCGGTAACTGTTGAGTAGTTCGCAGTATAATTAACTGTTGATACAGCCTGCAGGTCATTACTAACTGTTGGTGCAGCCTGCAGATCATGGCTTCCTGTTCGTACAACCTGCAGGTCATCGGTAACTGTTGGTTCAGCCTGCAGGTTATCGGTAACTGCTGAAGCAGCCTGCAGGTCATGGCTTCCTGTTGGTACAGCCTGCAGGTCATTAACTGTTGGTACAGCCTGCAAGCCATCGGTAACTGTTGGCACAGCCTGCAGGTCATCGGTACCTGTTGGTGTAGACTGCAGGTCATCGGTAACTGTTGGTGCAGCCTGCAAGCCATCGGTAACTGTTAGCACAGCCTGCAGGTCATCGGTACCTGTTGGTGTAGACTGCAGGTCATCGGTAACTGTTGGTGCAGCCTGCAGGCCATCGCTCTTTACTGGTGCAGCCTGCAGGTCATCGCTCTTTGTTGGGGTAGCAAGCAGGCCACCGCTCTTAGTTGGTGCAGCAAGCAGGTCATCGCTTCTTGTCGGTACAGCCTGCAGGTTATCGTTAACTGTTGGTTCAGCCTGCAGGTCAGCACTAACTGTTCGTGTAGCCTTCAGGTCAACACTAACTGTTGGTAGAGCCTGCAGATCATCACTAACTGTTGGTGCAGCCTGCAGGTTATCGGTAACTGTTGGTAGAGCCTGGAGGTCATCACTAACTGTTGATACAGCCTGAAGGTCATCACTCCTTGTTGGTACAGCCTGGAGGTCATCACTAACTGTTGGTGCAGCCTGCAGGTCATCATTAACTGTTGGTGCAGCCTGCAGGTCATCATTAACTGTTGGTAGAGCCTGGAGGTCATCACTCCCTGTTGGTGCAGCCTGCAAGTCATCGCTCCCTGTTGGTGCAGCCTGCAGGTCATCGCTCTTTGTTGGTGCAGCCTGCAGTTCATCGCTCTTTGTTGAGGCAGCCTGCAGGTCATTGATCTTTGTTGGTGCAGCCTGCAGGTCATCGCTCTTTGTTGGTGCAGCAAGCAGGTCACCACTCTTTGATGGTGCAGCAAGCAGGTCATCGCTTCTTGTTGGTGCAGCCTGTAGGTCATTGCTCCTTGTTGGTGCAGCCTGTAGGTCATCACTCTTTGTCGGTACAGCCTGCAGGTTATCGGTAACTGTTGGTGAAGCCTGCAGGTCATCACTAACTGTTGATGCAGCCTGCAGGTCATTACTAACTGTTGGTGCAGCCTGCAGGTCATCGGTAAATGTTGGTAGAGCCTGGAGGTCATCACTAACTGTTGGTGCAGCCTGCAGGTCATCACTAGCTGTTGGTGCAGCCTGGAGGTCATCACTAACTGTTGATACAGCCTGAAGGTAATCACTCCTTGTTGGTACAGCCTGTAGGTCATCACTAACTGTTGGTGCAGCCTGCATCGTCACTTACCGTTGGTGCAGCCTGGCGGTCATCACTAACTGTTGGTGCAGCCTGCAGGTCGTCACTAACTGTTGATGCAGCCTGCAGGTCAAGTGGCTTCCTGTTGGCAGCAGCCTGCAGGTAACGGTAACCGTTGGTTCAGTCTTCAGGTTGGTCGGTAATCGTTGATGCAGCCCGCAGGTCATGGTCGCGCTGGTACAGCCTGCAGGCTATTAACGTTGGCAGGCCTGCAGGTCAGTCGGTAACTGTTGGTACAGCCTGCAAGTCATCGGTAACTGAAAGGTACAGCCTGCAGGTCATTAACTGTTGGTGCAGCCTGCAAGTCATCGGTAACTGTTGGTACAGCCTGCAGGTCATCGCTAACTGTTGGTACAGCCTGCAGGTCAACGTGAAGCGTTAGTTCAGCCTGCAAGTCATCGGATCCTGTTGGTTGAGCCTGAAGACCATCGGCTCCTGTTGGTGCAGCCTGCAGGTCATCGCTCTTTGTTGGTGCAGCAAGCAGGTTATCGCTTCTTGTTGGTACAGTCTGTAGGTCATCATTCCTTGTTGGTATAGCCTGCAGGTTATCGGTAACTGTTGGTTCAGCCTGCAGGTCATCACTAACTGTTGGTGCAGCCTGCAGGTCATCACTAACTGTTGATAGAGTCTGCAGGTCATCACTAACTGTTGGTGCAGCCTGCAGGTCATCACTAACTGTTGGTAGAGTCTGCAAGTCATCACTAACTGTTGGTGAAGCCTGCAGGTCATCACTAACTGTTGATGCAACCTGCAGGTCATTACTAACTGTTGGTGCAGCCTGCAGGTCATCGGTAAATGTTGGTAGAGCCTGGAGGTCATTACTAACTGTTGGTACAGCCTGCAGGTCATGGCTTCCTGTTGGTAAAGCCTGCACGTCATCGGTAACTGTTGGTTCAGCCTGCAGGTTATCGGTAACTGTTGATGCAGCCTGCAGGTCATGGCTTCCTGTTGGTACAGCCTGCAGGACATTAACTGTTGGTACAGCCTGCAAGTCATCGGTAACTGTTGGTACAGCCTGCAGGCCATCGGTACCTGTTGGTGTAGACTGCAGGTCATCGGTACCTGTTGGTGTAGACTGCAGGTCATCGGTAACTGTTGGTACAGCCTGCAGGTCATCGGATCCTGTTGGTGCAGCCTGCAGGTCATCGCTCTTTATTGGTGTACCTTGCAGGTCATCGCTCATTATTGGTACAGCCTGCAGGACATTAACTGTTGGTGCAGCCTGCATGTCATCGCTAACTGTTGGTACAGCCTGCAGGTCAACGTGACGCGTTAGTTCAGCCTGCAAGTCATCGGATCCTGTTGGTGCATCCTGCAGGTCATCGCTCCCTGTTGGATCAGCCTGAAGATCATCAGCTCCTGTTGGTGCAGCCTGAAGATCATCAGCTCCTGTTGGTGCAGCCTGCAGGTCATCGCTCTTTGTTGGTGCAGCAAGCAGGCCACCGCTCTTTGTTGGTGTAGCAAGCAGGTCATCGCTGTTTGATGGTGCAGGAAGCAGGTCATTGCTCTTTGATAGTGCAGCAAGCAGGTTATCGCTTCTTGTTGGTACAGTCTGTAGGTCATCATTCCTTGTCGGTACAGCCTGCAGGTTATCGGTAACTGTTGGTGCAGCCTGCAGGTCATGGCTTCCTGTTGGTTCAGCCTGCAGGTCATCAACTGTTGGTGCAGGCTGCAGGTCATTAACTGTTGGTAGAGCCTGCAGGTCATCACTAACTGTTGGTGCAGCCTGCAGGTTATCGGTAACTGTTGGTAGAGCCTGCAGGTCATCACTAACTGTTGGTGCAGCCTGCAGGTTATCGGTAACTGTTGGTACAGTCTGTAGGTCATCATTCCTTGTCGGTACGGCCTGCAGGTTATCAGTAACTGTTGGTTCAGCCTGCAGGTCATCACTAACTGTTGGTGCAGCCTGCAGGTTATCGGTAACTGTTGGTGCAGCCTGGAGGTCATCACTAACTGTTGGTGCAGCCTGCAGGTCATCACTAACTGTTAGTAGAGCCTGGAGGTCATCACTAACTGTTGGTGCAGCCTGGTCATAACTGTTGGTGCAGCCTGCAGGTCATTAACTGTTGGTGCAGCCTGCAGGTCATCACTAACTGTTGGTGCATCCTGCAGGTCATCGCTAACTGTTGGTGCAGCCTGCAAGTCATCGCTAACTGTTGGTACAGCCTGCAGGTCATCGGTACCTGTTGGTGTAGCCTGCAGGTCATCGGTAACTGTTGGTGAAGCCTGCAGGTCATTACTAACTATTGGTGCAGCCTGCAGGTCATTGCCAACTATTGGCGCAGCCTGCAGGTCATCGGTACCTGTTGGTGCAGCCTGCAGATCATCGGCTCCTGTTGGTGCAGCCAGCAGGTCATCGGCTCCTGTTGGTGCAGCCAGCAGGTCATCGGCTCCTGTTGGCGCAGCCAGCAGGTCATCGGCTCCTGTTGGCGCAGCCAGCAGGTCATCGGTACCTGTTGGCGCAGCCTGCAGGTCATCGCTAACTGTTGGTTCAACCTGCAGGTCATCAGCTCCTGTTGATACAACCTGCAGGTAAGCGCAAATTGTTAGTTCAGCCTGTAAGTCATCGGATTCTGTTGGTGTATCCTGAAGGTCATCATTCCCTGTTGCTTTAGCCTGCAGGTCATCGGCCTCTGTTGGTGCAGCCAGCTGGTCCTCACTCACCGGTGGTACACTGTGCTGGTCCTCACTCACCGGTGGTACACTGTGCTGGTCCTCACTACCGGTACACTGTGCTGGTCCTCACTCACCGGTGGTACACGGCTGGTCCTCACTCACCTGTGCTGGTCCTCACTCACCGGTGGTACACTGTGCTGGTCCTCACTCACCGGTGGTACACTGTGCTGGTCAAGTGTTGATACACCTTCGTCGACTATGATTGATGACAGATACTGTTCCCGGTCGTGTGTGAGTGAAGACAGCCCTTGGTCACAACACACGTCATTTATCACTATGGATGGGACTGGCTTTTGGGTGACTTTGTTGCCCCGTGTTACCATAAGAATTTGGTCCTCTCTGGCTGCAGCTTCAACTTCGTCGTTACTGGTTTCAGCTTGAACCTCGTCTGTTCGGACTTCAGCTTGAACCTCGTCTGCTCGGACTTCAGCTTGAACCTCGTCTGCTCGGACTTCAGCTTGAACCTCGTCTGCTCGGACTTCAGCTTGAACCTCGTCTGCTCGGACTTCAGCTTGAACCTCGTCTGCTCGGACTTCAGCTTGAACCTCGTCTGCTCGGACTTCAGCTTGAAACTTCCTCGTCTGCTGCTCGGACTTCAGCTTGAACCTCGTCTGCTCGGACTTCAGCTTGAACCTCGTCTGCTCGGACTTCAGCTTGAACCTCGTCTGCTCGGACTCAGCTTGAACTTCAGCTTGAACCTCGTCTGCTCGGACTTCAGCTTGAACCTCGTCTGCTCGGACTTCAGCTTGAACCTCGTCTGCTCGGACTTCAGCTTGAACCTCGTCTGCTCGGACTTCAGCTTGAACCTCGTCTGCTCGGACTTCAGCTTGAACCTGATCTTCACTGGCTTCAGCTTGAATTTCTTCTCTGACTTCAGTTTGAACATCATCCATTTTGGCTTCGGATTGATCCTCGTCCATTTTGACTTCTATTTGAACACTGTCTTCTCCAAGTTTAATTTGAACCTCGTCTTGTTTGACTTCCGTTTGAACCTCGCCCGGTTTGACTTTAGTTTGACCTTCGTTTTCTCTGACTTCAACTTGAAGCTCATTCTCTCTGTCTTCAGATTGAATTCCATCCTCTCTGACTTCAGTTTCAACCTCGTCCGGTTTGACTTCAGATTGGCCCAAGACGTCTTTGACTATAATATGATCCTTGTCCTTCATGACTTCACCTTGACTCTGGCGATCTTTGGCGGTAGGTTGGCGCTGGTCGTCTGTGACTTCAGTATGACTAGGGTGACCATTGGCTGCAGCAGGCCAGTCGTCTGTGAGTGCCGCCCGTTGTAGCTGGTCCATCGCTGGTCAGTTCTGGCCGAGTGGAAATAAATTAATCAATGTATTTTAGTTTTTTAAGTAATGCAAGTCACTGGGATGCGAAGTAATACTCTCTGAACGATTAGATTAAAATTTGGTATTTAGCAATTATTTAGGATTATCCAGTCAACGAGGGATTATCTAGCCATAATTAGCTTTAGTCAATGGATTTTATTGTGTATTTCCAAGGTGGAATCAGCCAATCTACGTGTGATTTCAACAATCTGCCAGCCTATGGATGAATTAAATAAATGTGCAGCGGCGATTTCAGTGTTTTCGTGTTCAGTTCAATTTTCAATTATAATTGTTTATTCCTTGATAGAGGAAGCGGGATCCTAGTGCTGTCACTAGGTACCCCTGTACAATGACACCAGAAGCATCTGGCAAGTGTGACAAGTATATACAGTATAAATATTATAAAGGGGCTTACTAAAGCCTAAGGAAGGAAGGATATTCCTTTAACACATAATCAATATTATTTACAAAATATCTGGCCAGTATGGGGAGGATCATCGTGTCTCCGTCAGGGGGTCGTGGAGTGGTGGTCCAGCAGGCGTCACGGAAGCGTTGTGTGTGGGCGTGTTCAGTTTTCCTTAAATTCACATGGACCGAGCACCCAGTCCAAGATGGTTGCCAATGAATGATACAAAAACTCGCCCAACCATTTAATCTTTTCGTATTATTTATATTTATATATATATATTTTTTTTTACGGGGATTAGCCCACCCGGGCACAGGTCACTGACCCACATTGGGGCCTGGTGGCGAAAATGTAATAATAATAATAATAATAATAATAATAATAATAATAATAATAATAATAATAATAATAATAATAATAATAATAATAAAGAACCATAAAGAAATAAAATAAAATCAGAGTGAGATACAATATATGCATGTTGTGTTAAAGTTAGAGAAACAATGGATCAGCAACCTAGGACTTGGTCACATTACTGTGGGTTGTTGTTGAAGTGCGATTTGTTTCATTGTTTTACAAGTCCCCCTTAGGCTTATGTTTCAGTATGAAGGGCGATGATTACTGTAGATGCCACCGAGTATCAAATAGTAAAGAAAAAAATGAACCCTCAGGAATGCTTCATATCCGTGACGCCTACTCTACCCTCCACACCTCAAACTCTCTTCCCAACCTTGAGGGCTGACTGCAGTGACTGACAATGGGGCCTGTGTCAGCTGACTGGATAGGAACAACAGCTTATCACCCTCGTATCATACTAACACCCAACATGACTCTGTATCTGGTGTAGACAGAGTCAGTGTGTTTATTTACGCTAGATAACAATGGTTGCCCCTCGTGTTCGAGGCTGGCCGGCTATAGGACCACTCAGGCGTGAATTTGTTCAATGTGTAGAAGCTGTCGCCAACACAACACACCCTAAGTGCATGAACCAGTGTTGAGGAATAATCCAAGAATAATCGGTCGAATTCCTAGTTTTACTCTCACAATCCCCTCCTATACTCTACCCACAGTAACCATTTACTATCTGGGTTGAAAATCCTGAGAACAATACAAGGTGTGTCACCCTTTTGCATCTAATTGTTTGCTTGATAGAAGCGTGACCTTCTCATAGTGTAAGGTCCGGTCAAGCATGTGTGTGTTCTGTACTGATGGTGGGTAAGAGTGTGAGAACCCTGCGTTAAGATCCCGCCCACTAATGTGTATAAGCAACAGTGATTGAAAGATGGGAGAGGAAACATGAGAGCATCGCGAAACAGTTATGAAACCTTGTGCCTCTACTGCAGGTTAGTGGCGGAAATAATCACCCAGACATCTTTATGATCTAACCAAGTAATACAAGGATGCACGTAAAGATGTCTATATTTCTTCACTGCTTGAGGCTGGATACTTTTAGCGTCATTCTGATAAACCTGAGTGGGGTGGAAGCACTAACATACATAGAGACTGAAATGTAAATCACTGCTCAGTCCATCACGTGTAAGAAAGAACATAAAAGAGGAAATAAATTATATTTCTCGGATTACCATCAACCTCGACAACTGCTTATTGATAAACTCGAGGCCGACAAGAAAAATTGGGCGGGTGATCTTTCAAAACCTCAGCCTCTCGCAGGGATTGGTTCGATCCTACTGGGGAGGAGAGACTTGGGACGGCAGAGAAAGAAGGGGGAGTAGTAGGAAGAGAAAAAAGAAGGATATGAGGAAACAAAGAAGATACAATGGGGAGAAGGGATTGGAGGAGGAAGGAGGATCGGGAGGAAGGGGGTCAGGAGAGACAGGGAGTCAGAGGAGTGAGGTGTGCTGCTCGGGGTGGCTCACGAGATCAGAGTCACACAGACCCCAAGAGGATTAAACTCCCCGTGATCGCCCCAAGGTGATGTAAAGAACACCACAGGCATTGCATGACGTGTGCCTCTGCTTGAACTAACCTCACTGTAGAAATCCCTGGGTACAGTTATTGTCAATTATAAATGACATCAAGGGGACCAAACAGTTCTCGGCAACAACAGTAATAATAAGATAATTGTTATTCATTGTTCATTCTAATCCATGATTACTCGGAGCAACGGATTCAAGTTGGATAAGTTTAGGTTTAGGAGGGAGATAGGAAGAAACTGGTTCACAAATAGGGTGGTGGACGAGTGGAACAAGCTTAGCAACTTTGTAGTAAGTGCGGGAACTCTGGAAAGTTTCAAAAGGAGGCTAGATAGATTCATGGATGATAGCGAGTGGTAGTAACTCTCGACAGGAGCTGCCATGCACAGGCCAACCAGCCTATTGCAGACTCCTTATTTTCTTATGTTCTTAAAAGACACATCAGGATTTGAATGACTGAATAATAAGCAGCAAAACAACAAGAAGGATGGAAGTAATCTAGATAGTTCAGGGCGCGAGGTTAATCTGTTATTATTTTCTTCCGTCTTGAAGTGACACTAGTGTGTGCTCTAGTATACAGCATTACCCCCTGAAGCTGTGACCTACATATCAAGAGACCTCGACACCAGTCAGTATCAGTGAGGTGACCCAACACAAGGACACATCAACAACAGTGACAGGTCAGACGTGAAGCCTCCGGGTAGAAATGTTGAGTATGCACGAAAGAACGACCAGCATGACCTAGTTGCTTGTATTAAATGATGTAAATAAGACGAGTTTTCCCGAGTGAACGAAATATTTTGTTTTCGTTGATATGTGTGTCATCTACGCCCAGCTTATAAACCCTTACTCCAGAAACACACAAAAATAATCACACTTTTAATAACAGTTTTACAGCTTCTTTAATGGTTTCCTGTGAAAATAACCGGCAACACATAGCAGGCAAAAAATTACCCGCGCATAACGAGTCATACTAGAGAAAACTCAAGAGCTATGCAGCAAATGGTTTCCACGGCAAACATTATTCCAGGATTTTGATTGGTTGGTGAGAAGAGGCTGAAGGACCCACTTGCAAGGCGGAAGGTGTACGCTAATGATATGTACCGTTAAAACTAATTGCTGTGGCTAAGTGTGTGTGTGTGTGTGTGTGTGTGTGATGGTAAGTGAACATGTGAAAGTTCACATCATTATAAATGCAAGATTTAAGGTAGAGAAGAGAAATTCTTACCACATGTACACAAGCGGAGGCAAACACGACACAAACACACAGAAGAGGAAACACACACACACAAGCTTCATGATTTTGGGTGGGAGGGACAAACAGATGGAACAAACACTACCCCGCGGTTCTGTTGTGAGCAGGTAAGTCACCCACTACACGAAGTGCTTAATTTTCCTTCAGGTTAAGTTTGGTTCTCTGTAGGATAGGTTAAGAAAGGTTTGGGTTAGATTAGGTTAAGTTATGTTCTGGTTACGTTGTATTTTGGTTAGGTCAGGTCAGGTTAGGTAGACTAAGAAAATTTCCATGTAAGAGAAAAAATACAAACAGGCAAGAGATCCTCAAAGAATCGTAAGTTAAATATCCACGAACGCTAACTGCATGGGACTCCCTGGCGAAGCTTAAACACTGTGTATACGAGTGATAAAGGCAGGCCGGGAGGGAGAGAGAGATCACACAATTAACCTCCAGATATTCATAGCAGCTGGGAGGCAACTGACACACACACAGGTGGAGCAAAGAGCAACACAATTTTCTAACACTTTAACATTTGGTGTTGTGTGTCTGTAATTGTGACAGTAATGGTACCCGTGTGTGTGTGTGTGTGTGTGTGTGTGTGTGTGTGTGTGTGTGTGTGTGCGCGCGCGCACTTGTGGGTCTGCATCCAAGTGTAGGTGCACTTGTGGATTTACTAGTGCTTATTTCTGCAGACGTGCGTGACCGTGTGTGTGTGTGGTCTAGGTGGTACAGTCATGATGGTGGGTGTGTGTACGTGTCCGTCGGTATGTACGTAGGTGTGTATGACGGCAGGGCGTGTGCTCGAGTCCAACCCCACAACTCGTACCTGGGATCACTTACAACCACAATAATGCCACCACCCACACCAAGCATCCTTACTATGAGGTCACACACACACACACACACACACACACACAGACAGACAGACTTAACAAACATTACAAGACAGATGAATCGAATATCATTAAGGAGTTGTCACAGCCATGTTATCTTACTATACAATGCAACATTTTAACACGAGCTCCTATTGATAACAAAGCGTTGGCTGATGCTATAAGAGTTACTTTTCAAAACTTATTAAAATACTGTTGTAGGTGGGATAGATAGACAGCCTTCGTCAAGCGCTCGACTAATGGCTACTGGATTTTCTTTAAGTAAACAATGGTAAGGTGGTTCATTTCTAATCGTTCAGAGAGTAATTCGCTTCACCAGAAACATTAAAATATTATCTGATCTTATTCACTAAGTTCGTAAGATGTTCTAAGTATAAAAATAACAAAATCACAAGACTAATGGTAGGGGGGATCTTACTTGAGAAGGACTTGAAGACAAAACAATGTCTACTTCTAACATCTATAAAACTGTGCAGCTGACTTCACTTGATATGTTATTTTGAAGGATTATATTTCCAGTGACAAAGCACAGGAGTGTTCTGAGCTCACGACACAACACGGTTATTCTCAACAACCACGGGCAGTATTGTGAACATGTCCTGTCCTGACGGTGGTTCACGGGACACTGAGGGAAATGTGATACAAACGTCTTATGATATATCGACGAGAAAAACATTGACACCCAGTAAGATGTGGGTTCGTTCACTCAGGCGGAACTAAAATATTTTGGAAGGTTCGAAACCCATGTTATCACGACTTGGTCATGCTAACTCAGGAAAAAATACACCATCTTAATGCAGTTTGATATATGGCTCTTATATCTAAACTTGGAGCCTATATAAATTCATCTTAAATACTATGTTTGTTCAATTGAATTCCTTTACAGAGAACAGCGGTAAATGATGTGTCGTGAGCTGGAAACACCACCAGGAGCTTGTACTATAGCAAGACTGGGGACAACACAAGGAACTACACGGAGGAGGAGACGAGTACCTGGTAGTGGTGTCCTGACGACGCTGACCTGACGAGTGAGGTCTACCCGCAAGCTGGGTTCGGGGGAGTGGGAGGGGTAAGGGGGACGAGGAGGGGTGTCAGTGTGGGGGGGGGGGGAAGGACAAGACAGTGAGGGACAGACGTTGGGGGTACTCAAGGAGTTGGAAATGCACAATAGTAAAAAAATAAATAAATAAAAGAAAGAATGTGGGCCAGATAGAGAGATGCGATATTTAGTGAGGAGAGGAAAGGAAGAAATGAAATTGAGCGAATAAATATAGAGAGAGGGAAAGAAAGCTCAAAGACCCAAATGCCCCTCCCTAGTGGAATTATTTGTTTACTGGTGCGCGCGCATCTGCCTGCCAACCCACCAAGGTGTTCCGGACGCTTCACTGCTTGCTGTCTGTCTCACCCCAATAACCCCAGCCACCCCTGTCTTCCTCATTACCACCGCTGCCTTCACTGCCATCACCCACCACCATTACTTTTGCCTTCACTGCCATCACCCACCATTACCTTCACCACCACCCCTGCCTTCACCACCATTAGGACAGTCACCCTTCTTGTCTTTTAATTGTATATCGTTCATCACAAGAAACAAAATCACCGATAATTTAACTAAATGGTTTTACAAAGTGTGAATCAATCCATGTTACGGATCATATGACAATTGTACGGTTCATTTAGATTATTTTCTTTTTAGTGAATCAGTTTAGGAAAAATGTCTGATGTGTACAGTAAAGTGGCGGCGAGGTTGAGTGTGGAAGTAACACCTATAGCAACTGTAGCAATAGAAACAAACAGGAAAGAAATTAAATCCCTTAAAGGTAGGAGGTGGACGCCATCTTAACACCTGGGACTCGGGGTCACCCCACATACACAAGAAATCACGTAAACGGTTGAAGAATCCATATATATACCTGAACTTTCTGTCTAAGACCTTGACTCATGTTCTCCGTCAATGAACATCCATCTCCTTGAATAACCTTCCAACGGGGGGAGAGGGGGCGTGACCTTCAGTGACAGCGCGGGATCGTGAACACACTGCCTACCAACACTAAGCGGCTGATAATCTCCACCCCGACGCAGGAATCATCCCCAGTCACCCCTAGTGTTTGTTGCCCCGATTGTGTCGCTCTAGTACCAAACACTATTGTAATTATGGCATTGTAATTTTTGTTCTAAATGTCTAGAGTCGACTGTGCTCTTCGAATTTCAACTCCTTTACTCATCATGCCGACACACACACACACAGTCATTCCACATGGACGAGTATAGCTAAAAATCGCCCATACATCACAAATTATATTAAAAATACTGTTTATTATAGAAATATATTATGAATTATATTATGAATAAATTAACTAAATAAAATATTAGTTAAATATTGTATTATAGTGGCGACAGTGCTATTTCATCCCACGCCTTTCCTTTTAACTAAATTTAAGTTGATTTACTGCACGACCATGTAAGGGATCATTTGTAGCAACGCTTCTTACATGACCATGATACACAACAATATTCACTCTCTACTGTAGTGTGAAGATTTAAAGTGACAACCTTAGTTATTAGTAAATAAGACCAATTTAGTTTTGTGTATCCATTTAAATGTGTTTATAATCCACACTCTTACATACATTAATAATAAAAACAATCTTTGTACAAAAAATTAGCTATCCGATATGTATTTCTTGAACACCTTACACATAATGACTATGGGTAAGGCATCATCCCACACTATTTAATAATTTACTCCCTCTAATTTTTTACACAACGCGGCATGAATTTTTAGTGCACCAATATCACGGCAATGTGCGGATGTGTGTCACCACTAGACAAAGAGTATTAATAAGAGATGTCACTGTACTGTAGCTGACGAGGAGTGGCTGGTAAATTAATTGCTGAACGCTTAACTGGTGCACGACCGAGCAGCTTACAAAGAGCATTTATTAAAACCTAAATGTATTTTTCAGCTGCCAGTTGGGGCGTTACAGCTCTCTAAAAGGTAACTCAAGTAAGTAAGATTAATATCGTACACTGTATATCTGTAAATCTAAGGATGAATAAACGGTTTCAAGGGGGTAAGAACGGGATCAGCTGGAAGTATGGAGGGAGGGAGGGGGTGTGGTGTAGCCTGGGGAGGAGTATGTCGGGGGCGGAGGTGAGGTGGGGTTTTGGGCGACTAACGGTTCCTTGTGTACATCTTTACACTGTTCGCCGCTACCCTCATAGACCTTCCAACACACACACAGAACAACTCACACACATAACTCAGTCACTTCACAAATCCCTGGTATTTCGTTCACATCCCTCTTATACACTCTCCAAACGCCCACTTAAGGTAATCAGCTAGAGTGTTGGTAAACTGTAAGCATAGATGGAGAAGATAAGACAGGCTAAGGTGGAGGGTGGTGGTGTGTGCGTGTGGGTAATTGGGTAAAATTATAGTTTCGGTCACCCACCTATTTAGAAGAAGGTCAGAATCGTCCAAAACACATAAGAAAACCACCGGAAAAACATAATTTCAACCCAACCCAACCCAACCCAACCCATCCAACCCAATCCCATAACCCAACCCAACCATCACCCCCATCCCAACCCAACCCATCAACCCAACCCATCCTAACCCAACCCAACCCATCCTAACCTGCTACTACTCTTCGCCACTGACCAGCAACCAATATGTGCAGTAATTTATGACTGATCACTATCCTCTCTTTCGGCCTTTAAAAAAACAATCGTATATTACAGGTGATAAGAGATGTTACTACACCTGAGAGCCACTAATAAGATCTGAGTGACAGCTTTTCAACATTTACCCCTTATACACTGCCGGGTATTGGATCACTATATAAACTCCGATACCATCTTACACATGCATACATAACATACATACATACATACATACATATGAATACTATACTGTATATAAAACCTTCGTATATTACACGCAATAAAAACAAAAATACTGGTTTACTTAACAGTGAGTGATGACGAGAACCACAGCAGAAAAAACACTGAAAAAAGCTTCAAAACACAACACAACAAGGACCAGGCCACAGTCTTCCCCACAACACCCACCCAGAGGCAACTGATCCCTCCAGCACTCACCAACCCCTCGACGCCATGTTGCCGCTCCGTTTTCTCTGATAGTACAAGCGTTGTTTTCTTTGTATCTTTTATGGTAAACTTACTTAGATTACTAACATGTATTATAGACGAAAGTTTTGCGTCTGTTGTCTGTATATTTTTTAGAGCGAGGTTTTGGATTAATGGATTATGACATAATAAAATATATAGTTGAAGTATATGTCAGTGTGCTGTATATAAACGTACTGTATCTAACTCGAAATATATATACAACACCTGAACATACACCTTGGCATACGCATTTATGAGTAAAGAGCACACACACACACACACACACACACATCGGCACTCCCCTAGCACACACGGATTCTTAAAACCACAAGAACAACATTTCACGTGTAATAAACCAAACCCAACACCATTACCTCAAGAACCAACTCCACTACATCCAACCACACCACACCTGTTACTCTGAATAACACATTTAATACACACACAACGTATAAAGTATGCGAGGCCAACCACAATAGTATAGTCATGTAGAAGAAAAGCAGCCATCTTGAATGTTTAAGACCAATGTTTATTATTCTAATCAGTTTTCTCGGTCGGTGATGAGTAATGGGATTTCTACATTAGTCTCCCCTGATATTTTAATGGAATGCCAGTGGATGTTCTCATATGATCCCACAAGACCATTCGAATCTCCAAACCAAACAATTCGAGGCACCAAGACACCGTTCGAATAATAAACAAAAATTCTTCGAAACACCAAGACACCGTTCGAAGCACCAAGACACCGTTCGAAGCACCAAGACACCGTTCGAAGCACCAAGACACCGTTCGAAGCACCAAGACACCGTTCGAAGCACCAAGACACCGTTCGAAGCAGACACAGTTCGAAGCACCAAGACACCGTTCGAATCAATAAGACACCATTCGAACCCAAGACACCGTTCGAATCAATAAGACACCATTCGAAACACCAAAGACAGACATTATTATAGTACCCACAGGTTGCTTAGCACACACAATTGTCCATCTCCATTCTCAACAGAAGACGTCTTATGTTACCTGAAGATTAGCTCCCTCCCCAGCTTATTTAACCTGACGCAAACACCCTAACTACTTGGGGATTAGCTTAGGAGTTGGAATGAATTGGAGTTAGGTTAAGGTTAGCGTTAGGTTAGCGTTAGGTTAGGTTAGCGTTAGTGTGGTTAATATTAAAGCCTCACGTTTGCAAGTCGTCTATTCTTACGTTGTTACTGTAAATCTCTCCTTTGTGTGCAGTGTTGAGTAGACGGATGAAATTCCCACTGGTGTCTCTAATTTTTTGTAAACTATATTTTGTCACTTTTTAAATATTTTGTAGAACAATTAGGATATTATTACTTTATGGGATTTTTTAATGTATTTTTCGTCAATGTGTCTTGTCAGTAGGCGAGTCAGTAAGTCAAACAAACAATCACTAAGTTAATTAATAAATGGCTAAGCCAACCAATTAATCACTAAACCAATCGCTAAGGCAATCAATCAATCAATCAATCACTAAGCATGCAATCAACCAATCAAGTGCCATCATGAGGTGTTGGTGATTATAGTCCTCTACTCTAAATATTTTCAGGACAGTTTTTAACGTTTCTCATCTCAGTCTTTGTCTTCCCTCATTGTTTTCTCTCACTAATACCTCTACCATTATCTCCTCATCCTGAAATTATGGGGTTAAATTATATCGTTTTTGTTGTTCTATAATTCTTTGTTTCAAGGGTATTTTATAGAAGATCTATAACCATAATATTATTTAGAAAATTATCCCGGTATTAGTTGAATGTAATAATATAATTGGCAGGAGTCTCATTGGCTGCAAGGGTAATAGCTATACAGGTAGTTTAATAATATTATCAACAATAAAACAGAAATTGAGGAAAAGTGAAGGCGATGATGAAAAAAGTGCATTAAATATCATATGAATGGTTTGTAAACAAGGCCCGCGTACCGTTACCGTAGTAAATCAAGTATCGAACGAATGACGCACGTACGGTAGATTAATTGGGTTACCGCTAGAGATAGTCTCATGTGTCAACGTTTTTCTTTAACACCAGATGAAAAGAAAACGGTCCCATCGCTCATCACCGCCACTACTAATCACCAGCAGCAATCTTCACCAGCAGTACTAATTACCACCACCACTACCAAGCTTCGCCACCACTAATCACAAGCAAGCTCCATCACCATTATCCCTCGTAGAAGAAGAACAAAAATTCGTGTGCTCTCTCCGGAAGACTACTCAACCCCGAGGAAATTATTAAATACCATCCCGCACTACCACGCCTGAGACTCGTGTGGCCTGCTGAAAAGTATGACACTCTATACTAGCTTCCACGCCCATGTAGGTTAGGTGACCATCCCCACATTCGCCCCCACCAGTTATCCCCAGGAGGCGGTGGGTAACGGTGGTCCTCGCTCGTCTTAGCCACTGACCCAGAATACCCTGTATACTAGACAGGTGCTGAAGGGAGTCTGTCTGACGGAACAGTGTGTGTGAGGCAGACCCTTCCTTGAGTCTGTACAGGTGTTGGGGGAGGTGGCTGGGGGGAGGACTGTTGGCTGATCTGTGCACATGACTGGTGTATGTGTGTGTGTACGATATGGTGATCCTGTGTATACACCATTAATATACACACACAACTAATGTACACACACTAATTCACATTTACACATCACGCACACATTACGCAACGTTACTATGTTAATACTATTCAACGATACACACGAATAATAACACATCAAAGTAAAGTACACATATGATTCACGTGTACCCTCTCACCCGCCCCCACCCCCCCCACACACAAACACACAGCCAACGGCAACAGGGCAACAGGAGGCCCCATCCCAAGAACAGCAGTTACCTGCTCCCGTAAACAGGTGGACCAGTGCGTTGCTCAGCCGTGGCAGGGTCTGCTGGTATGGGGCAGGATGTGCTGTGTGGGGCAGGTGTAGTGTGTGTGGAGAGCAGGGGTGTGGTGTGTGGGGCAGGGTGTAGTGTGTAGGGCAGGGTGTGGTGTGTAGAGCAGGTGTGGTGTGTGGGGCAGGGTGCAGTGTGTGGGCAGGGTGTGGTGTGTAGAGCAGGGGTGTGGTGTGTGGGCAGGGGTGTGGTGTGTGGGGCAGGGGTGTGGGTGTGGTGGTGTGTGTGTGGGGCAGGGGTTGGTGTGTGGGAGACGGGGTGTGGTGTGTGGGCAGGGTGTGGTGTGTGGGGCAGGGGTGTGGTGTGTGGGCAGGGGTGTGGTGTGTGGGGCAGGGGTGTGGTGTGTGGAGGCAGGGTTGGTGTGTGGGCAGGGGTTGGTGTGTGGGGCAGGGGTGTGGTGGGTGGGCAGGGGTGTGGTGGGCAGGGGCGGGGTGTGGTGGGTGGGGGCAGGGTGTGGTGGGGGCAGGGGTGTGTGGTGGGGGCCAGGTGTGGTGGGTGGGGGCAGGAGGGGTGTGGTGGGTGGGGCAGGGGTGTGTGGTGGGGGGAGGCAGGGGTGTGGTGGGTGGGGAGCAGGGGTGTGGTG